ACATATGTATATCCCTGAATGAGGACTATGTACTTTCTTTTCTTATGGCAAATAAAAATTTCTTCAATTAAACATATTTTGATTCCCCCCCAGAGCTTTCTTCTTTCTCTGGGTGCTTTTCTGGTTGGTTTTATATATATTTATAAACCTGCAGAGGGAGGGCAAGATTGTTTTGGTGTTCTTTAAACTCAAGAGGTTTCCTTTATTTAAAAGAAATTAACCCAGCTGAAAACATTTGTCTTTGCATTGCAGTTCAGTTCTTATTTTTCTTCTGCAAACACCCACCACATCCCAGCTTGTTTTGGCATCTTACCATTTGTAGAGCTCGACATGATAAAGCAAACACAGTCGTACACAGAAGGGTTTTCTCGGATCCTCTCCACCCAGACATTGGCCACCTCAGGCTGGGAGAGGCAAGTTAACAACAACCTAGGCAAGAGTTCCCCATTGAACAAATGAGAAGCCAGTTCACTCCTTTTAGCTGTACAAGTGTAAGTCCAAAACAATGACAGTGGAAAGGGGAATCCAACTCACAGCAAAGCGATTCCACAACAATGCAGAAACATAAAAGGAAAGGATGAGAGGATAATAAAAGAGTGAACCCACTTCTCAGTTTTCTCCCCAGGCCTCAGAGCATGGCAGAACCACACTAATGATGCATTAATTTCTGAGCTGTCCTACCTGCTTGTTTCCAGAAGAGTTGGGGAGTCTGAATCACACAAACGTTGCAGTAACACTTGGCTTTAAGAAAATGCAGGGAAAAAAAGTTAGTAAAATCCATCTTTATTTTTTAAAATGGTATAAAAAGGTTAATTGCACAAGTGCAGCCATGTTCTGAGATTAAAGCCAGCTTTTCCTAACTGTGCATGCACTTCCAGTATCTCAAGACCACCAAATTTAGAAACTAACTTGACTGGTGATTAAAAATCCCCAAAAATAGTGATCTGTGTCCTTTCTTCCTTTCCTGAGCACTTTCCACACAAACGTGGCCAACCAAAAGTTATGAATGAAGATGAGGCTTGGCAGGCAAGCTTAGATCCTTCTCTAACATGAATTTCCTGATTGTGAGTCCAGGCAAGCAGGACCTGTTCATGTACAAAGCACACAAACACTCACCCAAGATTCTCATCTTTGCTAATGGACATGCAGATGTCCTGGAAACAGGCCATATTCCCTAATATTCCCACACAGATTTCCTGAAAAACAAAACACAGTATAATGAGACAACTGCAAGTCTGCAATTTCACTTCCAGAGCCATAAGACAAAAGTAAGAGAGGTTCAAAGATGTTTTCCAGTTGGATTTCCAAGCGTGTATTTCATGTCAAAGATTCAAATTCTTCCACAGATTCCATACCTATTTTTCTGTTCTATCAGACTAGCCTAAAACACACTCAGGTACTATGCAGATATTTAGGTGTTAGGGCTTTCCATAAAAGCAAATATATCTTGAAATCAGCTCTGCTTGCATATTCTTTATATAAGTTTTGAAGCTAATTTGACAGCCCTGTCATTAAAGCAAAAAGGAGTCCTAAACAAAAATATCACTATGTAAATGTGACCCTCACTGATATTCACTTGCTCACAAAAGAAAGGGATCTTAATACAAGCTTCCAGCAAAGTCCCATTTCTGATTAAAGAGATCTAAAATAAAATAAAATAAAAAACAAACCCCAAAGCAGTACATCCCATTAGGATATTCATGCCAAGGTAATCATTAAGAGGATGCACACTTGTGTAAAGGGAACCATGAGAGCTCTGAAATACCTGCAGGTGACTGGTGCTAAAACAAAGTGAGTCATTAGTTTGCAGCAATTTAAAGTCAGAAATCAACTCTCTCCACCTAAGGTTGTTTTTTTAATTATTAACATGCTATTACCTCCAATTACAGCAGGCAATTACTCCAGCAAACACTATTTCATGAAAGTAACTGTGACAGCCAATTTGCACTCACTTGCAAATTTGAGTTGTACTTTCCAAAGATAAAATACTAAACTTTCAAAGCTCTATTTGTCTCTATTCATCTCCTGGAGAAAAGCATCTGGTAACTTCTGAGAAAGAGGATTTATATCAGCACCGAGTAACTTTGAAAATCCTATCCTGACTCCTGCAGTGCACTGTGTAGCACAAGCTGGAAATCAGTGACCTCAAAACAAGTGGAAAATGAAAAAAAAAAAAAGTATTGGTGTCTTAAAAATTCCCAAGATTACTTTTCATAATCTTTTTGTGTTTATTTCTCATTATCTTGTTCTGATTTGACTGGTAATAAATTAATTTCCCCAAGTGGAGTCTGTTTTGTCCATGACAAATCCCAGCAACTGGTCAGTGATCTCTCCCTGCCCTTATCTTGACCCATGAGCTTTCTGCTGTATTTTTCCCTCCCCTGCCCAGCTGAGGAGGGGAGTGACAGAGCAGCTTTGGTGGGCACCTGGCCTCCAGCCAGGGTCAAACCACCACATAATAGGTCTGACTAAACAAATTCATGACCATTTCTGTTCAGTAATCATGAGACAAGTCAAAAGGAAAAAGAGACCAGACTGCTGGGTTTTATAACAGGTCTTATGACTATGTTTGATAAACTCAGTCCTTCATCAGTGTATCTAGATGAGGATGTGTGAGCAGACGTGTACCAGCTTCAGCATCACCAAAATTCTTACTGATTAGACCATGTTAAAAACAGTGAAAAAGCATGTTATATTTGATTTTGTGTTTTCTGCAGTTCCCCTTTTACATTACACATGTAATGAGAGAAGAGATATAAATGTAAATGCACAGAGATATCTACTGTTGGTATTAACACAGGACAGCTTTTTGACAGCCCATACTTACAGTTAGGCGAGGGCATTTGGACTTGGCAAAAACTCCCATGAATATATCGGGGGCGTTGAACTCCTGAAGAAATAAAGCAACATCCTGTGGAGAGAGTGAATGGAGAAGTAAATGGACCTCTACAGCTTCCAAACACAAAATCAAAAGTGTTCCCACAGAGATCAAAGAGATGGATCAAAGAGATGACAAACTCACTACAAGAAATACATTATCTGCCAACTTTATACTAATAAGCCTTGTTTTTCAGTAAGAGAAGGTCAGCAAGCCACTCTGGTGATTCAGCATGCCAGTGATTTGCAGTAGAATGAACCAAAAAGTCACACTTGCAAGAAAATGCAAATTGCTCCCTATCTCAACAGAAACAGACACTCAACCAGAATTCAGTTTTAAGGCATGACATTACCATGACATATAAAAAAGAAGCAGGTGAAGGGATTACCATTAGCACTTGACCAGAATACACAAAAAAGGAAATCTCCTCCTCATTTTACCACATTAAAAAACAAGATTAGTTCTTTATTTAGGAGCAAAAGACCCATATCCCATGTTTATTTTAAAAAATCAGAGCAACAAGTTAGGGAATAAAATAATAATACTTAAACTAAGAGAGAGAGAGAGAGAGAATTTGTTCCAGCATTTGAGGATGCTGAGAAAAATACCAAGAAGCTGTGTTATATTGCCACTGCAAGTCTGCAGCTAAACTTTGAAAGGCTGTTTATCTATCAGAGAAAGCTGTGCTTACCATCGGCACGCATGACGATTCCTAAAGGAAAATATGCCCGTTTCGAGATGGCATCAGTATTATCCCCATAATCCACATGCTGAAGACACAGGCAGTGCACCCGAGTGAATTCCAGCTGCTGTCCTGCCCCTGCTCCTCTTTGCGGCTCCACGCAGGGCCCGGCTGCTGCCGCCCCAGCCCAGCTGCGCTGCCTCACCCTGCCCAGGACACCGCGACGAGCGCCCGGCCCATCCCCGCCTTCGCCCACTGCCAGCCCCGTGCTCCTACCTCGTCCATGGACATGTCCCACACCTTGCAAATGTCATTCTCCATCTCCTCGTCCAGCTCGGCGCGGGCTCCCTCGGGGCTGGCGGTGGGATCGGGCTCCGCGGGGGCGATGACCTGGGACACAGCGGGGCGGGGGAAACGACCCGGCTCAACCCGCGGGGCTCCCAGGTGTTTTCCCACCGCGTCCCCGCTCTGTCCCCGGATTTTTCCCCTGCGAGTCCCCGCTGTGTCCCCGGGTGTCCCCCCCACCCCGGCCCCGGGAGCGGTCTCACCGCACCACCCGGCGCCGACCGACGACGGGCCCGCCGCCCGCTCCCTCCCGGCGGCCGCGCACCTCGATGAGGCGGGTGAGGACGCTGAAGAGCCAGTGCTTGCTGTACACCGTGTTCCCCACCGCGTCCCCCTCCTCCTCCTCCGCATCGCTACACGGCGGCGACGGGTTGCGGTCCATGGTGGCCCCCACAGCCGTGCGCGGGCAGCGAGGCGGCGGCGCGGCCAGAGCGGCGCCCGCGGCCCCACAGCGCCCCCTGCCCACCGGCGGCCGCTGTTGCGCCGGGACCGCGCCGGGACCGTACTGGGATCGTACCGGGACCGTACCGGGATCGTACCGGGACCGTGCCGGGACCGCGCCGGGACCGTGCCGGGACCGTACTGGGATCGTACCGGGACCGTGCCGGGACCGCGCCGGGACCGTACTGGGATCGTACCGGGACCGTGCCGGGACCGTACTGGGATCGTACCGGGACCGTGCCGGGACCGTGCCGGGACCGTGCCGGGACCGTACTGGGATCGTACCGGGACCGTGCCGGGATCGTATTGGGATCATACCGGGACCGCGCCGGGATCGTATTGGGATCGTACCGGGACTGCGCCGGGACCGCGCCGGGACCGTACTGGGATCGTACCGGGACCGTATTGGGATCGTACCGGGACTGCGACGGGACCGCGCCGGGATCGTACCGGGACCGCGCCGGGACCGCAACGAGACTGTTACAGGATCGCACCGGGATCCGCCCGCCCAGGGCCGCCCCTCCGCGCCCTCCCAGAGCACCCGAGGGTCCCAAGGGAGACCCTTTGGCAGCCCCCGTGATGCCCCGACACCGCCGCCCCCGCCCTGCAGTCCCGCGCGCCCGGGAGGATGGAAGCTCGCAGAGAAGGGAACGGTTCTCAGGAGGATTTCTTTATTCAGCTGTACAAAGGGAGGTGTGACAGGAGCGCAGTACAGCGCTAGTACTTGCTGGGCAGCCCCTTGGGACGGTAGCGGTTCGGGTCCCCGCCGCTCCGGCCCCACGCGTTCGCCTCCTGGTCCGCCCGAGTATCCTCGGCGCCTCTGCCGCTCACGCCGCTCTGCCAGTTCTCCCGGGCGTCGCTGTGGGGGAGAAAAGGCCGCCTGAACAGACTGCACTTAACTCAGCCTTGTGTTGGTTCCCTCGCTCATGTGAAACTGAGTTTCCGAAGGGCTGCTCAGGGCGAGATGCAAGCACACACTCGGCCTTGGTCTGAGAGCCCGCGGTGGAATCCATATCTGTTATGTCGGGAATGAACCAGCAATGAAGGAGAGTTCCTTATCAGAAATGCAGAGAGAGGAATTTGCCTTCTCGGGAGGACAAGAAGAAAGGCTCAGGCTCACGTGAGCCTATATTCCTATATTCCTATAGAGACCGGCTGTCCAAACGGGAACCACTTCCCCTCCCCTCTGCCCTCCTTCTAGGTGCAAAGCTGAGTACAAGTCCAAGAGGACCTCACTCCAGCTGGAATGCTTGCATTGCTGATAACTCACTGTTAACAAGCCAAGCACGCTCCATTACCTGATCACTCTCGCTGCCCAAGCACCCCCAGGTCCTCTCCGGGCAGCATCATAATTCCCACGGGCATGGAAATACTTGTCAGCTCCTTTGTAATTTGCCTCACGCATGTCCTTGTATGCTCTGTACATATCCTTTGCCCCTGAAGAAAGCAGAGAAACAGAGATGATGTTGACTTGAAAGAGTCGTACTAAAAATAGTTCAGTACCATTTCAGCCAGGAGCTGAAAGGCCCAAGGAGCAGGAACATAGCGAGGCACTGCTCCACATCAGCCTTAGCACAGGGCTGTGCCCACAGAAAGCACAATTGGAGCTGACCAAGGCCCTCATCCAGCAGCAGAAACCAGCGGGGTCTCTGACGTGGAGCTGTGGATTTCCCAGCTCCGAGGGCTGCACCACTGACTGCTGTAACCTGTGCTTGAGGAGGGGGCTGCTGAGGCAAGGGCCCCCGGACACAGCAGCTTACCTCCCACTGCATCCCGGACAAATTGTCCAGCTCGGATCATTCCTTGGACTACCGCTGGTCTCTCAGCACTTGCGCACAGAACAGTGCAGAGCAATGCGATGCAGATCCAGAGCCTCATGGTTCCTGGCCAAGCCTGACAGGGAGCTGGGAGACAGTGAGAGAGATGAGCAGTTTTGGAGCACCTTTGAGAACCCACCACACCTCCAGCTGTGCCCAGCTGCTGCCCCAGCGCTGAGGGCTCGCCCAGGACCCCCTTCTCCCTCTGCATGCCCTCTGTGCAACCACAAGCTCCACAACAAAAGTAGGTGCACATGAGAAACCCGCATTTCAGCACTCCCTGCCGCTTCTGTCCTGAGTACAAAGAAGCCTCACGTACTAAAGCATTGGTCCTGCTCCCAAATACCAGCTGAAAACACTGCACACATCTCACAAATTCAGAATGTCACTCACCACTGCAGAACGGCAAAGCCAAAGGAGATGGAGGTCGTCTTGTGTGCTCTCAGACTCAGAGAGGGTATTTATAAGCAATTCAAACCCCTCAAAAGAGGAAACTGGAAAGGATACCTATGGTTGGGAAATCCCCACCAGGACTCCCAACACAGAAATCATTACTGGAAAACTGTCCTTGTCCTTACTGAAAGTTCATAGCTTCTGTTACACAATTTTTTACAGAGTATATGGCACTTCTTCAGCTGTCCTTGGGACTATTTGCTCTTCCTACCAACCAGACTGACAAACTGCCTTGAAGGCTGAAGAGTTCCATGTGCTTGAAGTGTTACTGTTAAGTGTTACCTGTCTTAAGGGTGACGCTTTAGTTTAGATCTTGGACTGAAGAGAGCTCAGAGGGGAAGGTACTATCTGCACACTGAAACACAAGGTCAGGTCTGTGTCTGTGGAGAAGGATGGTGAGCTGCATTACCAGAAAGGCTGCAGGAACTGCTGAGTGAAATTCCCATGCGTGCTGGGATTGCCAGATGAATCCCAGAGTAAACTGAATGGAAAATGTGAAGTGTTGCTCTTAACTCCATTGCAAAGCAATGCTGATAATGCTCTAAGATAGCACAGACACACAGACCATCAAGAGGCTCTGAATGGTTCATTTTGCCTTGGCTTGCTCTCATAGGCCCCTCTCGAGGGACTCCAGCCACCCTGCTGCAACAGCAGCTCCATGGGGCTCAGGTGGAATGTTTTGGACATAGCAGTAAATATTTTACCTAAGGGGAAATTCAGATCCATACAGCCACAAGTCTGCTAGATTTTAAATCAACTGTCTGGCCCTGTGGGCATGGCTCACTGTTTAAGTACCCACTGTGCTCTCTCTCCTTAAAGCCTGCTTGCTTCCCTTGGTTAACAACTTGACACAACCCTTTCTCCTGCAGAAAACTCCAGGGTTGAGTGCAACTGCACTGGAGAGTGAGTGTGCAGGAGGTGTCCCCATTGTGTGGCCTTGTACGTGATTTAGTAAGTCTAAGAGAGCACCTTACATTCCCCTCAGAAGAGTTAAAGGTATCTGCCCCACACACAACTCTGCCACTGTAAACAATTCGCTCCTGGAACTGCAGGGCAGAGGCATGAGTTGAAAGAGGTGCAATAAAGCTAACAAAGTGTCAACAGTAACTTCTTCAGCATCACTAGACTTCAGTCAAAAAAATTAGCTTAAGGGGAGACATTTTCCATAGACTAAGCCTGGAGCAGCAGGACAGATACTCTGTAGTGTGATGTATCTCAGAATGGAACAACTTGCAACAAGAATCTAAACCAAATCGACTAGGAAACCTTGCAAGAAGCAAGGAGCACAGATTTTTGTCCCCTGGCACCTCTGACTCTGATACTTCACAGCGTAACAGCTCAGCTCCTGCAGGGACTGGAGAGCTGTGTTTTGCCTCAACTCTGTTCACATCCTGATGACATCCTTGCAGTACATGGCAGCTCAAGTGCCTTCTCTGCTGGCTGCAAGAAGCCTTGTCTGTCACCTTTTTGCTTTGTAAAAAACAAGGAAAATTACTCCTGTAAGTTGGGGTACAGGCATGTGGCACTTTGCCCAGGGACTTAGAACAAAGCATTGCCTTCAAAAGAGTCCTGAGGAACTTTTTCCCTACAAGAGCTCACACACTCTGGACCAGAGAGGATATTTTGAGTTTTACACTGTTTCACATTCTCTCCAAGCTAACATTTCGGCAAAACAGGAGGACAACTGCAAGAAGGCAGGTGGTGGAGGGATTCTTTAGAACGTCTCAGAGTGCTTCCCCTAGTGTCGAGCAAGGACAGCAGCAGTGAGAGCAATGCTGGAGCTCCCCACAGAACTGAGATAAAGCTGCAGCTGGGGGCTCCAGCGGGGAACAGCCCGAGCCCTGCCTTCCCGCATCCTCTCGTCCTGCACTCCAGGTCACGAGCCTTGGCTCACGGAAATGAGCTGCAGCCAACACTGCTGCTTTCGCAACAGAAAGAGGAAAAGCTGACTCTGAGCCTGGAGGAGGGTTTGAACACAGTGTATCTTCTTGGCCCAGCAATAAACAATTACTGCACATGCACACTGGGAAACAGAAAACACTGACGGGGGCCCGGAGACCGTTTCTTGCTTTGTACATTCTGATGCAGTTAAGATAAAAAGCAACCCCATACGGTTGCCCCTTAACGGTAAATATGTATGAATGCAAGTTATGTTCCACAAACATTCCAGAGTTTTGCAATCGAAGAAAGTCAGACTAAGGGGATGATGTAAATTCCCAGCTTGGGCACAACAGTATTTATTTCTTAATCTGGGAAAGAACAGTATTTTAAGTACACGTGCAATAATACATTTCAGGAGTTTTGCCAAGTATGGAATATATACTACCAGTGACCTCGGGCTTACAGACATAGAGAATGACTGGAAACCTGTCTCCTTTCAAGAAGCAGATTGAAAATGCAGGTATTTATCTGGAGTAAAACTGATTTGCCCATGATGAAATAACATGATACATTTTTCTTTGAAAAAAAAAAAAAAAAAGAAAATACCACCACCAGTTTCTATTTAAAGCTGCTCCAGGCTAAGCCCCCTTTATTCATCTCTGCTTTTCAAGGGTCTCTCCTACTACCAGTGACCCACAAAAACCAAAGCTGTGCAACTGAGGCAGTTTCTGTTTCAGTAATTTCTGAACAGAAGACTGCCTCATTTCACAGTCCCTTCACCCTACTTGTATGAGATGAAAACAAACTCATCCAGAATAGGAAACATTCATTTTCCAACTCTTCTTCAGACAGTAAACTCTCACTCTTTATTGACAGCGAAGTTAGTTGGAATGATAAAACACAAGCTCACTTTAGACAAATCTGAACACACACTTCCCATTGTTACCTGTAGGGCCCTTCGGACATAATAATTTTTTTTAAAAAGCTCCAATTAGAATTATGACTTACTGTTAAAAGAAAACAATAAAAACCCCAACCGTCAGTCAAAGTTAACCGAGTGTACAAAACTCCCACGAAGTAAGAAAGAGACTGATGTATACACAAAATACACCAAGTGGATAAAGTGGAACCATAGGGAGGTAAGCCAGGCACATTCTCAGAAATCCAGGAATTCCACTGAGGAAGGCAAGAGGAACCCTTGGTAGGTAAGGGTGGCAGCAGCAGCTCATCTGGCAGGGAAGAGAACAGGCATCAACACCATCTGCTAGGGACCTGGCTCCCAGCCCAAGTCTTACTGTGAGAGCATGGGCTGTTCCTGACAGCACTGATCCTTCTATTGCCAATGGCAGAATCTAAACCCCAGAAGCTTCAAAATTTTCTGGTTTAGGAATAGTTCTGTATTGGGTTTTCCAGAAGTAACACTGGCTGAAAGCCTGATACTCTTTGTCTCCCTAGAACTTCCCTTCCTCTAGGGAAGTAACCAGCCCTCCACACCCAAGTTTTTCTTGCAGACAAGATGAAATAGTCTGCAGACTGCATCTCTCAAAAGTCCAAACTCAGTCTTATTTTAATGAAAAGCATTGTTTTGCAGCACTACAAGCGCTGCAAGACTACATAAAAAGATTCCTCACAAAGCAGTATTTTCACATCATCTTACAATAAAATTTTCAATTTTAATTAAATTTAGTTCAAATTAATGCATTACTTTATTTAAATGATATTTGTGAAAACTGAATATTGACCAGACATCACAGCCTTCTGCTTAAAATGAGTCAGACAGTGAAGGGGTCAAAACTAGAAGCTTAAAAAGAAACTCATTCAAAAATGTATTAAATGCAGGAAGAGTACAAAGCATTTCAGTAAACGAGATATAAAAGCTAAGTGATTTTGTGAATCTTTGTATTCAACCAGGTATGCAAAAAGACTTATGCAAACCATCAGCTTTTAAAAATATTCTTAAAATAAGTCCTCTCACTTTCCAAAATGTCAGAATTAACTGTGGAATTACCAAAGTTGACCTGGACTTCAAGAAAACCTTTTGACACTGTTTCCCACGATGTTCTCCGGGAGAAATTGGCTGTTCATGGCTTGGACATGTCCACTGTTCACTGGGTACAAACCTGTCAGGATGGCTGAGTGGATTCCATCCCGCTGGCAGCCGGTACCAGCGGTGTTCCCCAGGGCTCCGTGCCAGCCCAGTCCTGTTCAATCCCTTCAGCAATTTTCTGGAGCAGGGATGGAGGGCACCCTCAGGCACTTTGCAGACACAGCAGGCTGGGTGGCAGTGCTGCCCTGCTGGAGGCCAGGAAGGCTCTGGGCAGGCTGGACCCAGGGGCTGAGGGTCAGCCAGGCCCAGAGCCAGGCCTGGCCTTGGGCCACAACAACCCCAGACACGGCCACAGGCTGGGCCAGAGGGGCTGGGAACCTGCTGGGCACTAAAGGACCTGGGGGGGCTGGTAACAGCAGCTGGACATGAGCCAGCAGTGCCCAGGTGGCCAAGAAGGCCAAAGGCATCCTGGCCTGGGTCAGCAGCGGTGTGGCCAGCAGGGCTAGGGCACAGATTGTCCCTCTGTACTGGTGAGGACACATGGCGAGCACTGTGTCCAGTTCTGTGCCCTTCACTGCAAGAAAGACACTGAAGGGCTGGATTGAGTGCAGAGAAGGGAAATGGAGTTCATGCAGAGTCTGGGGCACAAGTCCTGTGAGGAGCAGCTGATGCAGCTGGCAGTGTTTGGCCTGGAGAAATAGAAGCTCAGGGGAGACCTCATTGCTCTCTACAACGGCCTGAAAGGAAGCTGGAGCCAGGGTGGTGGTGGATTTCTTTTTCCCAAGTAACAATGGATAGGACAAGAAGAAATGGCCTCAAATTGCTCCAGGAGACATTTTCATTGGATAGCAGGAGACATTTCTTCACCAAGAGCATTGTCCTGTACTGGAATAGGCTGTCCAGGGAAGTGGTGGAGTCACCACCCCATTGAAAACCCATGTAGATGTAGCCCTTTGGGACATGGTTGAGTGGTGGGATTTGGCAGTGCTAGGCTAATAGTTGGAGGGCTGGATCTTCAGGGTCTTTTGCAATTGAAATGACTGATTTGAATTCCACTGTCCTGAGGTTTGCTGGAGTATCACAACTGATGTTTATGGTCACAGTACACAAACAGGTATGGGCAATTTAGAAATATTGTGCTTGTAGTTCAAGAGCAAGTTCATTTAACAAGTTTGTCTATTAATCAGCATTTTTAACCATGAATCCACTTTAAAATATTTTCCTCCCATTTTAAGATTTGGCTTAGTTAATGTATTTCAAATAGGCAAGGTCTGTCCATATAAATTAAGAAGGGGAAAAAACCAACGGGTACCATAACAAACTTCTACAGCAACAGTAAAGGTAAATGTCATTTACAGGTAAGTTAAACAAGTGTAGGCTTAGGTACTTCTCAGGAATAGTTTTCTCATGTTTCCAAACAAAGAAACAAAAAAATTGTATATACCACAGTTTAATACTTAGGGGCTCATATCCCTGAACACTTAAGTTATGGACTCAAAATAAATTCAGCAATTTTCATCTTGGCAATCTGTGAGCTTAATTTCGAGATAAATACTGGCTTGTTTTGATCTATGTTCTACACAGTTCAAAAGCCATCTCCAAAGGAATAACAAAGAACTGTCACCACTTCCAGGTCAGATACCTGCCAGATGGAGACTGGCTTAGTATAACTGAACTTTTAGACAGGAGTTTGTTATTTTTAAGGGCCTGTGAAATTTAAGAGGCACTTGAATATACAGTCATTACAGTATAAAATGTTCTCATAGTTCTCCCAAGTTGCTTTCTATGCTTGCTGAGACCACAAAAACCGGTCACACCTTTCCAACATGGACTGAATCAGCGCTCTGAAATTAAAGCAAAGGGAAAAAAAAAGTCAAACAGTAAAAAAAGCTAACAGAAAGAACAACAGTTTGCTTTTTGAAGGGAAGTTTGTAAAAAACATGATTGCATTTCAGGAAGTAATATCCTGACATCATCAATCACACCTTTGCAAGGAATAGTAGAGATCAGAGTGTGTACAGGTCTCAGCAGGACAGATCTGTTTTAGAGAATCTCCTTCACATACACCTTTAATGTATGATCTCCTGTTTCCTCAATTTAAATTTTAAAATGTCTATATTGCAAAACACACAGTTCTTAGATAATAGGAAAACTTTCAGATGAATCTAAAACCAAAGGTCAAAATGTGAAGCACTTTATCTTCTTGTTAACTGAAAAGAAAGTTTAAAGCACTGAGGAGATCCAAAAAGAATAGTGTGGATTTTCTGCTGACACACCTCTTACCTCTGCCTTTTCTCAGCGATTCTCAGTATCTCACAGACACCAGTAAACCTCTCAGACAATTCTAGTGTCAAGCCACACTCCTGCAAGAGAGGCAAGGCATGATTTGGGCCGATGGCCTTGGCCAGCAACAGAGCGACATTTTCCACAGTGATGCAGTCTGGGCAGCTCGGGCCTCCGTTGCTGACAGCATTCCCATTCTGTGGGCTGTGGTGGTGGAAAGCTGTGCTGTGATTCTGTGCAAGATGCAGAACAAACTTCCACTCTTCTATGGTCTCTGGAATGGAACCTAGATATAAAATGAATTTGTTACATTATTTGTAAAACCAGGATTATTCTAAGACTACTATTTAAACTATATCTGTACTTAAAAGGGAAGCTAGCTATTCTATTTTACTCTGAAGATTTTAGGAAACCAAGCATTATGAACAAGCAAATTGTGCACAGAAATGCACTACCCTGACTGACTCAGTGTAAAGATTCAGTGGTGAACCCACATAGCTTCACAATAGTTCAGTACACAAGGCTTTGGATTAAGCCAAGAGACAAAGTTTTGTTCATCTTAGGGCTGGAGTGAATTTTCTTCTGAGTTCTGCCTTGTGGTACAATGCTTTGCTCACCCTAACTTCGGGTATGTGCACGTGTAGTGGTGGAGTTTTGTTATGTGCAGGAAAGCTTCCTGTTCCTCTGTCTACAACACCAAGGTTAGCTTTTACTCCCAACTGATAAACAAATCAAGATTCTCTAACTTTTAAGCATTTTCTAGCACAACTGATTTCACAAAGCACAGCAAGAAGATACAAGAGTATAATACCCATTTATATGTTTCAATCATGCTGTACTACACACAGGGCTACAAAAACACTTCAAAAAAATAGAAGTTCAACTCAGCTTTGGGCAAACTTTATAAGGGGCAGTTCCTACATTACAGAAGTATATTTACACAGCTTAAGAATCACTAACCATCTTCTCCATTCAACAGGCTCAAATCATCCAAATGAACAATATTAGTAAAGGCTTCCATTCTTCTATCCAGCTCCAGACAGAGAAAAAGATATCCAGGCCAAAATCTTGAATAAGAGAGTAAAGATTTCAGGAATCAAATATTCAGTTCAAACCAAAGTCAAGAACAATCACATGCTGATTTAAGTATCAGTAAGGACAAAAGCAATTAAATTTAATGAATGTCAGAAACAGAGTAGGGACATGAGGAATACCTCCCATTTGGCACATTAAATTGGAAATTCAATATTCACCCTCAAAAAAGGAAAGGTTTTTTAAAAAAAAAACCTGTCCAAAGAAGAAACAGATACAAATGTAAATGACCCATCTTCTCAGGGTCAGAATACCCACTAACCAAATAGCAAGAATTGCCAAGTTTTCTCCTTACCCATGTGATTTACATATGTCAGCCATCTTCTCTTTCATAACAAAATCAGCTGGGAGTTTAATCAAGAGCAGAATGAGCTGGCTGTAGCCCCAAGTAAACAAATGTGATCGTGGCCTAGAAGATGAGAAATTCAGTTTTAAAGTATTATTGATTTTCTTCAGAACATTGTGGCTGATTTATGAAAAGAGAGGAGGGAAAAAGAATGAAACATCATATGCAGTCTCAGTAGAGCAGTCACTCTGAAAGGCATTGCAAATAAAAGTTATTCAATCCTTTGGTTGTTTCTGCTGAACTCTGCAAAGTGCTCCAAAGAGTCAGGGATCCAAACTTTCACACAAAATCTAACCTAAAACCAGACCTGTTAAGTCTTTCTGCTGCACTCTTGGGTGAAACCCACTTTACCTGGGATTTCCTTCCTCATCCACAGTGTTTGTCCTTTGTGGAGCATCATGAGAAACTGCCAAGCACAACCAATCCAAGCGTACAGATTCTGGCTGCAGAAGAGACCTAAGGAGAAACGGCCTGGAAAACAAAGTAGACGTAAAAAAAAAAAAATCCTAGCAGTTTTAAATATATCAGATATGGAGAAGCAGAGATTGTGTATGAACAAATTAACAACAACAAAACAAAACAAAACCAAACCCAAGAAAAAAAATAAACCAGGGGGATGTAAAATTAAATACGGAAAAGCCTACAATTATTTATGTCTCTACAAACTAGGCAACCACAGAAAAATCAAGTTTTCAGGTTGAGTTCCCCCAGATTTGGCTTTGGGGTTTCTTTTGGGTTTTTTTGGGGGATTTGGTTTGCTTGAGGTATTTTTTAAATGCCATCTAACCCTGGTATACTGAACTGAAGACATAGGAACAAAAGAAGTCAATTCCATTAAAAGTATTATTTAGGAAATCCCTTTTAAAACTAGATACTAACCTAACAAAAACTCTAATCTAAAACCAGCTACAAGTCATAGGATTACTTGGAACCTAATGCTTAAGAACACCAAAGAAACACAAAAAATGGTTCCCCAAAAGCCAAAACAAAAAAAAAAATCCTCCACACAGCTACATGATGAAGAGAGCAGACAGATGAAAAGGATTCTACATTCCCCTCACCTTTTATCCTCTGGCTTTGATTTCACCAGACTATCCAAATATGCTAAAAAGTGAGCTGGATCATTCCTGCAAAGCTGTTTAATATCAGAAGGTAAAATAGATGGGTGGAACTTGATCAAGGGCCGAAGGGCTGTTTCCCCAAATTTGTCATAAAGTCTGGAGAAAGAGAGAATAAAAACTAATTTTCAGTACCAAACAGCAAAATTTTTTTTCAAGATTATACTGAAAGGTGATCTCTCTAAGAGATTCCAGAAATCTTCATGACATGGTAAGTGAAGCAATTCCTGCCAGGAAGTTATGAAAAAGAAGATTTAGGTACAAACCTTTGAGCATGTGCCAGCAACAGTGGGCTGCCATCCCATGGCCCCAGGTCATGCAGCAGCTTCAGTATTTTCAACATGTCTTTTTCATTTTCCATTGCTAAAGCCACTGGACTATGACAAGTTAGTTCTAAAATAAATCAGTTCACAAGTTATAAGATTTGGGCAATTTTTTTTCTTAACGTTTCCTGCTCCTCCTTTCATCCTTCTGCTGAACAACAGCTATCACTGCTTTCATGGGAAGTTCAGCACCCATCTCAGTCCTGATAAAATGCATGTATTAATCTCCAGGCACAAGTGCAATCCAACTAAGAAAAAACCGGGAATGCATACACGACTTTCACTTCTAAGGCTCTCAGAATCCAGACAGTGAAGAGATTCGCAAATAATCCCCAAGAGAAGCACTAACACCAAACACCAACACTCAAAGCAAGATTCTGTTGTTTAGCTGCTTTCTGCTGGAGCAAAATCAAGGCTAAGGCTTTAGTTCGCTCTTGAAAGAAATACGTAAGGGAGAGGCTGAGTGCAGAGAACAAAAGAGTTCTGTTTTCTAATATCATCATGAAGCTTTGGTTCAATAAAATTAAATTGGCGTCAAAAAGATCAGAAAGTATTTCTGTGGAAAAGGGAAGCCTTAAGTGATCACAAGCCACTCATCTGCATAGAACCATTTACTCCATTCAGTATTGTTTCATATTAACCACATTCCTTTACAAGCTGAATCTTCCAGTGCAACTGCTGAAGCCATTGCCCTTTCTTCTGCCTTGTTTCTACACACTTGTGATTCTAATTATGATGCTTTTGCTCTTAGAAGCTGATATGTTTGTTTGTAAACAGGCTGGGATCACTACAGTTCAATCAACAAGGTCCATGCAAACTAACAGGTTCAAAGTTGCAGAGTGGGAGGACAGCAGTCTCTCTCCAAGGAGCCAGCAGTTTGGGTTTTTTTTAAGAAATCACAGGTTATTCTGAGTTGAAAGGGACTCACAATGATCATCAACTCTTAAGTGAATGGTCCATATACAACTTGAACCCACAATGCTGGGATTATTGGCACTATGTCCTAACCAGCTGAGCTAAGTTCTTCCTAAGAAAAGTATTTGGGGGAAAAACAACCAACCAAACAACCCAAAACCAGAACAAAAACTACCACACGCCAAGCATCTTCCCCCTGCCACACTACACCGGCAGAAGGAAAATCTGCGGACACAACATTGGGAGTGTCTTCAAGGCTTTTTCTTTTTTTTCTCCCAAACAAACAGTCCTATTTTCAGTTTAAGAAGCAATACAATGTTCATTATTTACCTTTCAATCCTGCAATGTATGTTTCCCATATATGAGGGCTGGTGGCACACGTAGTTATAATACACTGCTTTACTCTCGTTAAATCCAAAAGGAAGAAGAAGCTTCGCATAAACCTACAAGCCAGGGTCCCTGAAGCTGCTGGTGGCAGACTCGTGTCAGAGCTCTCCTCAGCCTCCCCACTCCCAGAGGAAAAGACACGCAGCTCAAAGCACAGAGTGCTCAACTCCACCAGATCTTTCAGAACATCAGCTTCGATGGCACACGGAGGAGACACCTGAAAGCCACAGCCCAGAGGCCCTGTCACATCAGAACCATTTTCACACATGGTTTTGCTTGCACAGGTTTCATCAGGATTTTCCTTTTCAATGCAGTCTTCCAAAATACCATTCTGCTCCTCGTCTACTGGGTCTGTGTCAGCTGGAGCCACTTGCAGGTTTTCCTCCAGGATTGCCCTCTGCTCTTCAGCACACACAGTCTTGCTCTTCTTAACAGACAAAGCAGAATGCTCCTTGCTGAATTTTTCTTCTAGATAGACAAGCCATTCCTGTAAGACCCTTCTCATACACTGAGGCTCTAACAAAACCAAGGGATCCTGGAGCCTGGCTCTGCAGCATAAAAAAGAAGTTTCCTAAGTTTAACTATTATAAGATATCACAAGTGCTTTGTGTAACTATACTCCTACACTCCTTGACTTGGAGTCAGTTGTTGGGTTTTTGTGATTTTGAGTGCACCAAACAGAATTTAGGCTATTTCACACTGTCTACATTTGATCTCAGCAAATTTTGAGCTCCCTAGGATTTCTTTCAAAATGAATTTTTGTGATTTTGATTTTTTTAAACTATGCCTGTACTTAAGACAAAGGGATAACACTAGAAGAGCTTTTAGTGAGTTTTGCCTGGTTTTAAAAAGAGGAATGAAATAATTCACCAAACAACATCCTTTCAGGTTATGTTTAGAGACATTTACAGCATCACTCTTACACGCACGTAAAACGAATGAAATGAAAAATTTTAAAAACCTAATCATTTTTTTCTGCCAAAGCCCAACATATGTGTAGAGTAAAAAGTTTGTCTGCTTACATAGTTTCTGCTGTTGCAGCCTTGAGATCTTTCAGACGGTCCTCCTCAGGAAGCTGGCAATTCTGGTGTTCTGACCTAGAAAATAACATTCATCTCAGTCTTATCTAAACTATTAACTTTAATAATTTAAGTGAAGATTTCCTGAAAAATTTCCTCAACACTAATTCCTTTATAAAACATAAAGCTTTCACTTGCAAGAAGGAACAGCTCAACAGAAATTAAGGATAAAGTGGACACAAAGAGAAACACATAATGCTATTTTTGTGGCTTTCTATAATTGCTTCTACTTCAGCTGCAGTAGATTTCTGCAGGTTCTGAACAAAAACTGTACCATGCCACTGTATGAAAGTTAGTCCAAAACGGTAAATTAGCACTGAAATATGAAATTACTTAGCTCTGTGGTCATTGCCTCATCAGCCCTAAGAAAGGAGTTGGGAGAACAGCTGAAACCTACCAAAGGAATAAAGGCAGCTGGAAAAACCTAATGCCAAGTTCCTCTGCTTGAAAGAGTTTTTCCTTCGGTTGCTATCATCAGGACATCCAACAAATACTACTGCTAAGAACATGTGATTTTGCACTCACTCTTTTTCTTCCTGGGGAGATGCTACTGGATTAAGAGGTAGTTCTGGCAGCTGCTCATCATCCTTTGCTTCATGCTTCCCTCTAGATTCAGGACTTATATGAAGTGTGCCAATCTTTTCTGTGGTTTTGCGTACAAAGCTGGAAACACTAGGAATCACAAGTTCAAACATTTAAAATCAGAAGCTGAGAAGCAAACAAGCAAATCAAGCACTCTTTTCATTCAAATCATCTTTTCAGAGACTTTGTAATCTGAAGAACTCTTGAGAAAACGATGAGAGCAGTGATGACCAACAGGAAAAAAAACTTATTAAGAACCTGCTCAAAATTCATACTCCAGTCATGATCATGTTTTCATCACAAAATAGAAACCTGAAGTATTTAACACTCCTGCTGGAGAAGAAGGATCATATACCAACCTGCTACAGATTTTGACATGTATTTTTAACTTGTATGCAAAAAAATGCAGATTGGCTACACTGCATTTTAAAGCTTTTAAACATAAAACATCTCTATGTCACTCTTGGTGGTAAGAAACCACTTTACAATGCTTCAAATTAATTCTTCAGATTACAAAGTTCACCAATAACATCCTTGTCACTGAGCAGTCCCTATTCATTAAAGTATTTTATTAAAGAGAAAGCTTAATGAACATACCAGAACTCTATTTCTACCATTGCCACAAGGAGAACTATGTCAACAAGTTTTGAACAGAAAAATAAGCTTCCTGCTTTCTGCTCTAAAACAAAACAAAACCAAAAAAAATCCCAAGAACTCCAACCCAGTATCTTTTACTATAACTAGGTATAGCAAAAGTTAAAATTCACTGCAGAAGGCAGAGAGGATTCAAATTTAGCAAAACAATTGGATTTGAAAGTATAGAAGGATTAAAGCTAAACTTTTAAAAATTAACTGTAAATATGGTAGTATTTTATTTAATGATCAATTGCATGCAGCAAATACTTGAAAATGTGGCTTTCATTATTAGCAGAAACACTTATTACTAGTAAAGTCCCCAAGGCTGCTTTTGGTTTAGAAAAAATTCAAAACTGCTTGTACTTCTGATGTTTATGCTGAGATCCTCCCACTGCTGATAGCAGCTACAATTCTTTCTTGCAGGACATGATTGAAGTGACCAAGGGAAGGCTGGGCAATTTCTCAGACCATTGCTAGGCCAGAGACATTTTAGCTAATTAACATACAGCACTTTTATAAAAATTTTAAGTGATGTATTTAACTCCATCTCCTTTGTATTTGTACGCCCACCCCCTCATCCCCCATCTTTAAAAAAATAAAGTTTTAAAATACCACTGTGATTTACACATAAAATGGATACAGATCTAATTGCAGCAGGTGTAGGCTACCATTATTCCAGAAGTGTTTGGGAAATCAATTAGATTCACTGATAAGTTCATGTGGAGATACAACAGACCACTCTGCAAGTGTCTTTTAGCAATATCTACCTGCTTTGAAAATTTCAGTGCTTGCCCCCAAGCAACATAAGAAGCCTTCCCCCTAAGATCCAGGAAGGCATAATCACAAGACAATATTCAGTAAGTTTTCATTTCAAAACAAACCACAACTAGAGTTTACAGGGTAACAGTAAACATTCCTAGACATTTAACAATTATTAACTATTTAAAACTGAAGTTGAAGTCTTGGCTCCACTGAAGTTACCAGCAGCTCTTTGTATCTTCATGAGAGCCAAGATGAAGATTTAAACTGCCTGGCAAACCTGACTGCACCTCTGGTGCTCCAGTTCAGGTGTTCAGACTATGAACTAAACCACACACTGCTACAAATCCAGGGGACAGAAGAGGGCAAGATGCAATGGATGAGTGAACCTGCTGCATGTTTTACCTTTCTTTGACAGCTTGGAGAGAGACGAGAGGAGATGGGGAACGGAATGACAAAGGAATACTGAATGGGAGAAATGTCTCATTCCGGTCAGCGTCAACCACCACAGATGCATGAGATACGTTCTCTGACAAATGGAATTGAAATAAAAAGTCATGAAACAGTGGCCTGGCAAAAAAATGGAACAGTGAAATGAACAGCAAGTCACTAATATATTAATGGATAACCTGCCCACCATGCTTTCCTTTTAATACTCAAATTTCAAGTGCTGTTTTAATACTGACTTTGAACCTAGTGAGTCTGCTTTATTAATTGTGTTTTGGCTTTACAGCAAGGCAAACAATGATCAACTACAGTATGAAAACTATCTTCTAAGATTAGACTTACAGTCCATTTAAAGGACAAAACCTTGATCTAATCCACCGAGTTATTTATACATCTAGGAAAATTAAGTATTGTAGCATACATCAATTCACAACTGTTTGTAAAGTCAGTTGTGACCATGATTTCCAAAATCTAAATCACATGTGAACAGATATACACAAGCCACGATTAGGGTATAACTCACCCTCTTATTTGAAAGGATTTAAAAAATCTAAGTGAGCCCACAGCTCTCTGGCTTTTGATAAGAATGACAGTAAATACAGTCCTTTTCTCTCCTACATCCCTAACAGTATTTACAATGTGCTTTGCTTAATCATCTCCTGGTACAAGCCCACACTGTATCTTTAAGTGATGTCAACAACAAAAAAGGGATCACTTTAAGTCAGGATGACACTGCAGTTTGCAACAGTCAGCAGTAACCAGTGTTGAGAGAGGAAAAGATGCTTCACTGTTACAGAAAATATACCATCAGAATCCCTCTTGACAGTCCCTAAAGGTCACAACTAAGTTTATAATTGATGGTAAATAAGGCTGCCTTTGTTCATTATGCAGACTAGAAACCTAAAAACTCATTACATCTTATGTCATTGTGAGCAGGGAAACACTAAGTCCATTTCTTTCAAATATCAAATCAAGTACTCGTGCTTCAAGAAGTATCTAGAACTTCTCTACCAGGAAATAATCAGCAAATTTGTCATCTCTTGTGGAACACACAGAACCTTTCTATCTTCTGATATTCAAAAATTAAGTCATCTGAATTTTGACTTTTAGTGCTGGAAATTATGCACTTCAGAGTTCCCTCACTTGTTTTTATGGCGATGTAGGTAAAGAAGCACATGTACACCTAAGTGTATGTTAGTCAGCAGGACAACACTACTGACAAGTAGGGAGCTAAATACCAATTCCTGCATTCGCCCTCCCCAGTGTGGGTTCTTCCAAAGCATCCAAATTCCCTCCATCCTCAACTGGCACCTATCCTTGCAAAGGCTATAAAATAGCCTTTTTATAGGAAAGCCTCTCTACCATATCTAGAACTAAGGCAGCCGCTCATCATCCCAGGTTTCTGCATCCCCTCCCAAACCCAACCAGAGCAGCAAACAAGACCCATTAGTCTCACTCTAGCTTAAGTCCACTGACAGACATCTGTCAGGAAATAAAAAAGCTCCCTGCATGGGCTAAATGTTAGTTATTAACAAATCTAGCACCCTACACTAAAGTTTACACGTGTCAGAGGTAATCCCCTGTACAAAGGAAACCCTGCAATAAAGTTAAGAACGCTTATCAGAACACTTCTGCCTTCCCTGAAGAAATATAAACCAGAATCCAGCTTCAGAAATTCTCTTCTGTAGCAAATGCTACAAAAGGATACTGGCAGCAAACAGATCTTGTTTGAAACTCAATTGACACTGGCATAGAAGGAATTTTAGCATTAGTGTTCAATTACACATGGAGAGGGGGAAGTTGGAATGAAGTCCATGCTTGGTAAAGCCCTCTGGACCTTTTGTTTTGTTTCACTGGGTTTTGTTTGCTTTTAAGCCTGGATTTCTGTGGAGCTAGCTATTCAACCCAATGTTTCAGGAAGGATTTTGACTAGAAGGTGACCGTTTAAATTGATCAAATTACACGTATTAATAATTAATAACTTGATGGTAGAAAATAACACAGAGCCAATCGAGTTGAATTCTTGTAGAATAAACAAAAACATTCAACAAACATGTTCTCATTAAGAAACATTACCAAGTTCTAGCTGCTCATCTTCATGGTGTACAGGAAATTCTTTAAGTCTCTCATCTTCTGAGAATGTTTGACTGTGGAGGGAACATGAGTCTTCATCTGACTGACTGCCCCTTCGACTGATAACACGGTAGATTCCAGAGTCTAAGACACTGAAGCTTTCCTGTCAGACCAAGGAGGGGAGTTAGACATTGGGTGAGTTCTAATTCCTTGTTCAAATTTCTGCAATGAACACAACCAACTGTCCCCACACAAATAACCTCAGAGCATTTCCTGATTCACTGCCTGGAAAACTCCTATTTAACAGAGTACTTTTATCATATCCAGAATGGAAAAGGACACAGATGCCAGCAAGTGTGCAGTTCAGTGACTTTGAAAAGATGTGTATGATGCAATTGCTTTTAGGAAAGCAGCCTGTGGAACAACCGGTGTATTCGATGCAAGGCAAATCTCACATCAGCTTTAGTCCTCTAGTCAAGGCTGTCACTTCACCCCTTTGTAGCTGAATACCAAGAATCTGTATTCCTTCTGCTGGTCAGCCACACCCAGCTAGCACAATTACAGACCCTGCAAAACTATTCAGTTTCAGGACCAACACACATTTTTCTGCTCATCACAGGTTTACATAATTTACTTTAGCAGTGGCTAAAGTAAAACTTGAAAAAGCAAACCTTGTCTACATTGAGATAGTATTTACATTACCTGGCTTTTTAAACTTTGCTTTTAAACACTGTTAAAGTGAAAGCAGGAGCTGATATTGTATTAACTATGAAATATTTCCCCTTTCTTGAAAAGTAGCTGTATTTTTATTAGAAATATGCTTTGTTTTTTTTGATCTTTCTCCTTAAGCTTCTTAGAAGTGTGACAATTTTTAAAATAGGGCTAAGATAGTTCTAAGCACTCAGACATTCATTTTCATCATATAAAACTAGAGTTATAACCAAGACTATCTTTACCAAAGCACATTAAAACATTAATTAGAGCTGTGGAAAAAGCCATCTTCGTATGAATCATTGTCCACATCTCAGCCATTAGCCCTAAAATAATATCTGAAAGAGGCAGAGATCTGAGAGCTTACAGAATGCATAGTGGTGTTTCCTACCTCTTCACCCCACCTAGTTTTAGAATGCAGCATTATGAGCTGTAGTAGATAGGGTAGAAATGAAAGCTTCATCTTCCAAGTGAGCAACAAGTTGACTTTAAGCCATAAAGATAAAGCCTGTAAATAACATTTTCGGCGCTACCAATACACATACATGAGATGAAATACTGCTCCTTCTACTGCTGCATGCAGAATCTAGAGGTTCCAACTTTGAAATTAGTTCTTCCAGTTGCACAGTGAGATCTTGCTGGGTTGAAGCATCCAGCTGAGACTTCAAGTGCTCCAGCTTGTCTAAAGGCAAATTTTTTCTTGCCTAAAAGCACCCAGTGAAACAGAAGCATTATTATTTTTAATGCACATGTGAAAACAAAAGATACCATATATGCAGGATGATTTTCATCCTTAAAGTATAATGTTTAGACGACTTTAAAAACTCCAACAAAATGGATCTCATTAACCATGAAATTTAATGGAAGGAGGGACATGAACGACAGTGAAGTTGTACTGCACATTTAGAAAGAGCTATTTACTTACTCTGCAAGAAACAATTGAATTTTGGAAGAGACAAGAGACCCTGGCAGCAAGGGCCCAGAATCCTCTTCTCATCAGACGCTCTATGCAGCGATCAACCAGCAGAAGGGAGAGGTGTACAACTTTCCCATTTGTATGCAGACAGAACAACTCACTCTTGTGAACTGCAATATCCTGAATATCTGCAAAACACACACAGCAATACCTGAAGGATTGAAGTGTTTAATCAACATTCCTTTCTGTCCCTGAAAGAAGACAAAAGCATATTCCTGCCTGATTGCAAATGAGTGCAAAGCACGAGGGGCGTGGGGAAAACAAACGCTGAGGAGTGTTGATCTAGCACCTAATCACTATAAAACACAGTGTCAAAACTTTCCAGAGTTGCAGTTCTAGAAAACATTCCCAAAATACACTAAATTACCAAAAAGTTTCCTCTTGCTCTAGATGAAAAATTAAAGCCTGATAGAGATGACAAATACATAATTGTTAGCTTAGAAATGGAAGGAAAATATTCACAAATTTGGCCCTCCAGAAGTCTTCAAATGCAGTACTTATACTGTATGCAAACACTCCACAACAAACGTTGCAAACTTAACACCAAAATGGGGAGAAGGAGAAAGACTGACAATAATTGTAGGACTCTGCCTGTAACCATACACACAACTGTTTATGAGGGTTCACTCATCTGCCAAATAAAAATATTCCCTGTATGCAATTTAGACAGGTTTTAGGAAAAAACACCAGGTTTTAAACTTTCAACAGCCAGATTATCCTTCACAAGACACCTGACAATGAGCCTGAGTAAAGAGAAAAAAGGACACTGCAGGTTAATCACCTGTATTTTAACTATTATATTTTGTGAGTCACCCTACACTGCGTTCTGTTTCTCAAGAAGCATTTTTTCACATCTCTGGTAGGAGGGTTGGTTGGGGGAGGCAGGGAGATGGTTAATATTTAAGGATATACCAGACCGATGACAAGTATTTTATAAATATTCTGCAATCCAGCTGCAGAAATTGAGCTTGAAAAGCTTACATGTTAGGCAAAGACTTCAGGAACGACCAGTGTAACAGACAATGTTACAAAGCAAAGTTTAAGAAACTTTAGTTTACCTTTAACTTCACTCCAGAGTAAGACTTGAACGCTTTGGGGAAGAAAAATATAAATGCCTCTTTCTGTCCAGGTCACCACACAGTGCTCACTGCAATCAAAGCAAATGTTAATGAAGCAACAGTCAATCGCGGTAAAATAGGTAAAATTTTAAAAATTTGTAAAATATGCAGGAATGGCACTGGCTTAAGTACAGCAAGTGAGATGTGAGGCAGGTTTAGCATGATACTTGGGAAATTCTTACACAGAAAACTGAAGTTGGTGATATAAATAAGGAGAAGAAAAAAATTTTAAGCCTACTTTATCAACAGGAAGCTATGCTGTCAAATACTCACGTCAAATACAGCAGCTTGGGGAAAGATAAAGATTGTGGAGAGCAGCTCGAACCAGTATAATGAGGATCCTGCCTGCAAAATAAAATTATTATCAAGCATAACTACAATACCATTACTTTCTAAAATTCTTAACCCTTTAAATACATGGCTGGCTTAAATAAATATATTCTCATGACAGCAGCATTTGTTATGCTCACAAAGACATAGCTGCAGAATCAAAGTTTTGGCATTTTTGATAATTACTGGCTACACTTCTTAGAGGAGACTATATTAAGATAACAACTAGGATTAACATTTGACTGAAGGAGGAGTTTATTTCGTCTTTTCAGCCTTAAGGGCGTCCCAAACAAGTTTATCATTGGCAACTCTCGTGTTCCTACCTGACAGTTACAACAGGAAGAGGTGGTGATGAGAGCAGCTGCTTGAACTGATGTGTGCTTTGCACTTCCCCATCAAAGTTCACCTCCCACATCCTTGAGCCAGGTCGAGCACAGTATATTAATGGCTGCTGATTCCCACTGTTTTTCCCAACAGGGAAGAAACATGCTCCAAATTCTCCATCTCTCTCTTTATTACCAATCTTCCAGAACTTCTCTCTAGAGGGGAAAAAATACACTTGTTAAGTAAGGCAGCATTAATAAAAGACCTAATGAATTTTATGTTTTTCTTGAATATAAAAAATACTTAATCCCAGGTGCTGAATTGGGTTTTGGTGCTTAAGAAAAAAAATGTTTAATGAAAATTACAAAGCCTGCCCAAAGTTTATACATGACAGGGTGCAGAAATATTCATTAGTTGAAATGAATACTCAGATCAAAGGGTTTTATTTTAGCAGAACCAGTTGTTCAACCTAGTGATGGGAAGGTGTGAACATTCCCAGAAATCATTTCCAATCACATGAAAAGTAAGACAGCGATTATGAACAGCCAGCATGAATTTATGGAAGGGAAATCATGTTAACAGCCCTCTACAACCGAATGACTGGCTGGGTAGTTCAGGGGAGAACAGCAGACGTTGTTTATCTTGATTTCAGGAAAACTTTTGACACTTCTCCTCCCAACATCTTCAGAAACAGACTGAGGGAACATGGGCTAGGGGAAGAAACACTGATGTAATTTCAGAAACTGTGTGTGACTCTGAAGTATTTCAGAAACAAAACAGAACTTGCCTCTCAGTATCACATAAATAAGTGCGGGTAAGTGAAGATATGAGCAGTCTTCCATCCAAATAATCAAGCTGAACCACCCGAGAATCTACAGTGGTTATAATCTGGACAGGAAACATCACAAAAGTAGCAGCAGCCTACAGTTTAAAAAGAAAAAAAAAAAAAAAAAGAAAACATGCTGGTCTCCAGTTCAAAGTAAAGACTGTTTCATTATGTTAAAACTGCAAAATTCAGAAAAGACTCATGTACAGTATGAATACATAGCTTAAGAGCAGTTCTTTTCTTCTCTCTACAAAACAAGGCTTCAATGCTCAGAAGCACAGGAGTCTAAACCCTCCTTTCCCCAAAACTACTATTGAAGACTTAAGAAAAAAAGTCATATCCCTGTAACATCCTGATATTTCTTTATAAAGGTTTTTTTTTCCTCAAACATTAAGAGAGGGTTTTATTCTTGTTATTATTCTAAGCTTTGTGCTTTTTTTCCAATTCTCCCCATAGGTACATTGAGCTAGCAGATTTATGAAAACAGACCAGAGGCATTAATTGATACAAAAAACTTCTATTGGAATTAGGTTGTTCACAAACTCATCTTCTCTGTTACCCTGCCACAAATTATCCACATACTATTTACTGTACCAGTGTCTCACTTTGCATGGGTGGATGAACAGTCTCAGACTTATGGATAAGAAAACTACTGGGAACTGCATTTGAATTTGCTGTCAGACAGTCACTATTTTTGCCAGCTTAGAGCTGTTTTCCCTTCTTAGGAATATGGCAAAGTGTGTTACCTGAGAAATCCAACAGTCCTGTTCCTTTAACAGGTGTGAACAGACAGAGATTCCATGGGCCTTGCCATTTCTCCTCCCTCTCTTCCCACAGCTGACCTTTCCTCCCTCTTTCTTTAAATGTAATAATGCTCTAGCTACTTTTAATACAATTTTCCATCAAAATCTTCCAGGAGGGTTAGAAAGTACCTGGAGGAATTTCCAGGTTTTGCTCATTTTTACCAACTAAAAAGAAAGGACCCAGTAGTGCTAAAAGCTAAAGAACACTCAAGGGCTAGAAACCAGGCTGCTATTGCTAACAGGTGTGTCCTTTGCACAACAGAAAAAGGATGTAGGCTCGATGACCACCTACCATTTATTTTATCTAATCCAGGTGTTTAAGGATGAGAGCATCCAGAAAAAGCCAAGAAAAATCAGAGTCTGGGACTGCTCTGTGACCAACAACTGAATTGTGGACTAAAACAAACAGCTGACCCTGTAGTTGGAGTCTAAGGAATTCAATAGGCTCAGAAACACCAAGATCCTTAACTTTGATACTTGTAAATTCCAAGAAGCAGGAGATCGACCAGTTTTTAATTCTGAACATTTGAAAGCATTTTCAAGTTGCATTACTCAAATAGATAGAATAAGGATGGGGGAGCTCATGGGCCAGGATTTTTATGGTTGTCTCAAGAGACTGGCTCTTCATCTCAATAGTTAAAACTAACAGAACTTCATCAGCTGGCAAGTCCTGCTCTGTTCCACTTTGCTAAAATAAACAAGAAGATTCCACACATCACCCCCTCTGAATTAAACTCAATCAAAGTATGCAACATTTTACCTTCCCTTGTTTTGATGTGTTAATCTTGATGGCTGATACTTTTCCCACATGATCTCCTACAAAAACTCGAAGGGCAGCTGTATCCCAGCACAGAGCTGTGACTTTCCTGCCCTTATGCTCAGAGGAAACATAAATCCGTTCTGGCTTCCCACGACGTTCCTGATTCAGCTCCCAGACTACTACAAGGCCTTGGCTACAACAAGTTAAAAAGAGAATACACGTTGAAAATAAGCCTTCTAATGTTTTATCAGTTAATAAAAATGCATTTTCCCAAAGAAAGAGGAAACCCAAGCGAAGCAGCATGCCTGAGAGCTGGTTCTGTTTGAGGCTGTATGCTTTCAAGAAGTATCACACTTAATTCTGGAGAAGAATAAGTGTCCTTCTTTGCACTGCAACGTATAAGCAGCTTTGTAAGGTTACTCTTACATTTATTACACTTGCCAGTGAGGAAGTGGAAAAACATTTAAATGGATTTTAGTAAGCATAAGTGGCATTAACTATCAATCTCACTCCACCATGTAAATGAAAATGCTTCTTTTCATGCTCCAAGGTCTCAGAAAGATATTTATCATCATAATTTCACACGCATGAGCTCTGCCATAGATGTTCTGTCACAGAAATAATACTTAATCTAGAACAACTATTCCAGTTTAAAAAAAGTTAAGCAAACTGTCTGTGCAGAGAATTATCCTGTAGTGACCTCTACCAGTTAACCTGGTAAGTTAATTCTGTCAGTTCTCAGCAGCTGTCCAAGTCTGAAACTTGAAGCTTCTTAAAAATATTAATCCAATGCTCAGGTTTGTGAGTAGACCACTCACCTGGTGGCAACAGCAACATAGTCTTCATCATGCAAACAACAGGCCACTCGAGAAATGGCACCTTCCTGAAAGCAAGCATGAGAGTAAGAGCAGGTGAAAGTTGGTTTTTGTGTCTTTTCCGGGTTAAGTAAAGGTGGCCTGTCCACCTAGTCTAAATTAGAAATTTAGACCCAAATATGGGTAAAAGAAATATATTGTTCCCATGTATCTGCCCACTGCCCAAGTGATGTTGACAGCCAGCTCAGGTGTATTCTATTTAACAGTACGATGGAACGAGCTTTGCTAGCAAACATATGTACAGGACCAAGGGAAGAGAGGAGTACTCTGGATGCCAAGGCCTGGGCAACCCTCCCCAGCCTAGTCTTAGATCTAGCACCTATAGCAACTCAGAGTTTTTACAGTACCACTTCCCCTGCACTCCTATGGGAAAGGCCACAAACTCACTATCTGCCCCATTCGTAAGATCTTGAACCCTCCAACAAAGAAGTACTGTGCTCAGTTACTGTATCTGTCACATCATCAAAATTTTTATCCTTACTTTGTGAGTGAGAAAGAGTCTTTGCTTCCAACCATCCTTCTGGATAAGGTTCAGTCCTCCTCCTGAGCTGCCTAGAGCCAACCATCTCTTTGACACATCTATGCACGTGCACTGAAGGAATAAAATTCATAATGCATAACCTGGTAAGTTCTGACCACAATATCTTTTTCTTGCATTATTATGGTGTTTTTTTTAAAGGCTTCATTGTTTGCCAGCTGTGTGTACCACTCCTGAACCACTGGTAGTGAAGATTATTAAGCAGCACTTTGCAATTGGAGTAAGCAGTGTAAACTGTGTCAGGCTGTGTTAAGTACCCACAGCTGCATTAAGGAAACACACACCGAGTAACAGGGTCCATTATCTTTACTCTTTCTTCCCAAAGTACTCCCCCACTAATACAGCATGCACACACCCCAAAAAGAATTAATTAATCCTATGGCTTAATCAAATGATTAGCCAAATAAGGTCATTATTTGAGTTAAAAAAAAAAAAAAAATAAAAAAGCCATACCCCACAAACTCACCTTAAGACGACTGGAATCCAGCCTGAGTGCAGAAAGCAATGGATCCAAACACTCCAACTCTGCCAAGACATGGTTGTGAGAGTCTGGAATTACTGGCACAGAGGCCATGGATGTACGAGACTAATGCTGCTCACTCATGGGTGCTTTACAACTTCAGCTTTTAGCTGCACCTGCTAAAAATAAAGTCACTTGATTAGTTCACTTTTTAGAATTAGAGCTGGTGTTCTATGCTTAAAGAAACCCCAAGTGTTTTCCTACTCAAAAACCAGGCTTCAGTTTGACAAAAAGAGGCCCAAGGGCTGGAAAATGAGACCACTGCTTCATTTATGAGAAGCTTTTTTTCAAGTTCATTACTGAAAACTTAACCTATCAGATAGCCCACCCAGAAATATTTAAACTGTAATTATATTTACATCTGCCTGTGAAACAAGTTAGTATGTACCTACAGAAAACACCTTGTTTTGTGAAAAACCTTTCCCCACAGCATGCAGCCTTGATTTGAAACTAATTTTCTCAAGGAAAACATTTAGCATTGGTATTCTGTAACTGCATCATATTCTCCCCCAAAATTAAATTTAAGGAATATTATGCTCAAGTTATACCAAATTTAGAATTAGCTGCATTTGTGCATTTTGATACAATTATAAGCTATCCTCTCCACAGTATGTCTTCTCCTGCATTCAAGAAATAACACAGAGTGAAAATCAATAATTAAATAACCACTGAAATCGCAATCTCGTATTTTTCCTAAGCAGCACATGCTTTAAAATCATTTCTTACTGAGTTTAAAGCTTAAACCTGCACGTTGCTTAACAAAACCCCAAACCTGTTACACTGCACAGTCAAGTCCCGGAATTTCTAAGTAACCTTTAGTATGCGGTCCCATAAATTAAGGAACTCCCTCCCAGAAAAGCCGTCATAGGGGAAATTTACATTTCCTCAAAAGAAAAGCGAGCACTCACTCTCACCAGGCACTAGGAAAAGGGAAGAGGCACATTCAGCCAACGAAACTAAAAGTTATTTTTTCAAAACTCTCAAAGCGTCTTAAAAACCTCAATGGCCAAGTCTGGCCTCTGTACCCCATCCCGCCTGTGTGGCCCTGAGCTGCGGCTGCCACCGCGACACGGTGTAAGGTAACGATCGCAAAGGGCAGAAGAACGCCGCGAAGCCCTTCAGAAACCGCGGGCAGGGGACGGCAGAGAGCCGGGTCCCGGCCACAGCCCGGGGCAGCCGCAGGGGCAGGCGGCACGGCTCGCCGCCTCTCCCCGGCACGGCTCGCTCTCGCTGCCTCTCCCCGGCGCTGCCGCTCCCTCACCGCGCTCCGCGCCCTCACGGTGCCGCTCGCGCCGCCTCCAAGCAGCGCGCTCACGTGACCCGGGGGAGGGCGGGAGCGCGCGCCCGCTCCGGGCTGCATCACGCGCCGCCCGCGCGGGAGGAGGAGGAGGAGGAGGCGGGGGAGCAGGAGGAAGCGGCGTCACGCGCGCGCGCACCCGCCCGCCGGCCACGTGATGCCGTCACGCGCGCGGCGCCCCCTCCCTCCCAGCGCGCGGCCGGGGCCGAGGGGAGGCCCCTCCCCCGTAGCGAGGCGGCGCCGCCGACCCGGGAGCGCAGCAGGACGGGCCGCTGGGGCCGATGGCGGGAAACGAGCGGGGCCCGCGCGGACGGGTGACAGCGGGGGACAGGCCGGGCCGGGCGCGGCGGGGATAGGGGCAAGGGGGGCGGTGGCGGTACCGTTTTACTGCCGCGTAACTGCCCCCTCCGCCCGCCGCCGTCATGGCGACGGGGGAGCGGCCACCACGTGACCGGGGCGGGGAGGGGGGGGCGCGCCGGCGCCACGTGACCGCCGGGGACGCGCGGCGTCGCAGGCCCTCCCCTGTCACGTGGTGCGGGCCCCACCCCCGGCGCCCCGCGGCCCGTTCCGGTCACGTGCCCGCCCCGCCCGCCCCATGGCCCCGGCGGCGGCCGCGGCCCGACCCCCGTAGCGCCGCTCCCACTCGGAGCAGCTCCTGGCGCAACCCGCACGGTAAGAGCCGCCGGCGCGGGGCGCGGGGGAACGGCGGTGCTGGGCAGGCCGCGGGGCCTGATCCACCTCACGGCCGCGCTGCCCCGGCGATCCGTCCCCGGGGGCGGCGGGACCGCGTCGCGATGGTGCCGCGGCGGCCTTTGGCCTCCCGCGCTTCCTTCCTGCCCGGCGGACTTGTGTGTGACGGTGGCCGGGCCGGAGCTGAGATGAGGGAAGGGACGAAAGGGGCGGCGGCACCGCCGATCTGCGCTCCCCGAGGCCGCGGGGGGTGGCGGGGAGATGGCAGCGCTGCGCCGGCGGCATCACAGCCGGGGGCACCGGGCTTCTCCCCGGTGCGGGCGGCAAACAAAGAGGTGTCGTGGCAGCGCCTTCTCCGCCTGCTGCCGGGGGGCCGGCGGCCGGGCAGACCCCGCCGGGACCGCGAGGGTGTCCTCGGGTCCGTCTCGTGGCGGGGTGACATCTCTCCCGGAACGTGGGTGATGGCGGATCGAGGGAAGGCCGGGCTGGCCCCTCAGGACCGTGCATCTCCCCGCCGTGCCCGGGACAAGCAGCGCTGCTGCCACCTCTCCATCCCGCTGACAGATCCCTGCCACCCGTCGGGGTGCTGCTGTGCCCGCTCCCGGACCTGGCAGCGTCCCTGTGCCGACTGCGGGTCAGACTGGGCCATTGGCACAGATATTCCATGATTCTGCTGTTGCCTGCGGGGAGCGGAGGCCCAGCAGCAGCAAGGCCTGCATTGATCTGTCAGAGCTTGCCTGCCAGCCTGTGCCCACTCTGGCCAAGTCAGGATTGTTAAAACATGCAAACATTTCCTTTATTTCTGCTTAGAACTCGACAAAACCATATGGCAGTGAAATGCTGGTAATAGAGAGTGTTCAGAAGAGCTGTTGTAAAAAACAGAGATGAGAGACACCTGGTCTTAAAAGTGGATAGGAAAAGTCACTGCAATGGAGGAAGAATAGCTACTGTAATTTGATGGTATTCCCAGAAGCTGTGTTTGCTCCCACAGAGCTGGGAGGGAGGGTTTGTACATGGATAAGCACACAGAACATTTCTTTTGGTCTATGCCAAGCACTGAAGCTTCCTAATAGACCTTGCCCATTGTAAGCTGCAGCTGAAATTAAGATCCCCCAGACAGGCCTGATGACAAGTTTTACCTCATGGTTAGGGCTTCTGGTTGATCCAGGTGCTTTTAGAACTGTTGACCAAGCTCTGCTGCTGGGGAATTTAAAATAAATTGTCTGACCTTCCTATTCTGGAAGATACTTGAACCAGCAGCTGAAGAACGCTAATGCTGCAGCAGATTAAAATTGTCACTTAAAGCCACAAAATAACAGCATTTCTGTGCGTTCGTGTGGCATTTCTTGCCCTGCACAGCAGCAGTGTCATCATCCACAGTACAGATTCCTGGAAACTTCAGATGTTTAATGTAGAGGTTACGAGATTTGGACAGGCACAAGTACATCATTGATGGCTTTTACTCTGCTGCATAGTAAGCCTTACATGTCAAAAAAAAAAAAAAAAAAGAAAAGGAACAGCTGTGGACTGTGTGTGCCTTGCTTAGCAAGGATGTAACCTTCCCTGTAGGAGACAAGGAATGGGATCAATCCTCAAGCAAGATTCCTATTTTAGAATTTTTCCTGTACACGAAGCCATTTTGTTTCCATTAGTGACAAACTGTAACCTTCCTAAATTCCTATTATTAAATAGATTTTTTTGCTCTTTCTGATGCACTTTTCAAAAGACAGCTCAGGGTTTTCTCCATTTTGGGTAATGCTTACTGTGCTTGTGAGTTGTATCATCCCACTGCTACTGTAAATTACTGCAGGAAGAAGGAAGTACAGCAGTGACAGAAAGAAGAACAGCATGAGCCAGTGTGCTCACCCTCCCAGAAGGTGGAATGAGCCACTTGCAGGATAATTGTGCTCTCGCAGATTGCACACTGCAGGGTACTAGAAGGGCTCTAAAGGAGAAGTTGGTAGTTGCTGATTCTTTGCTTCTGTAGTTGAAAGACTGGGTGTAGGTAGATGACATGGCGTGGTAGAAAAGCAGAGCAGCTGGCATTGGAATGAGCCTGACTGTGGAAATGCTTTCCTTTTTCTTGCTGTTCTGTATGGGTTTAATTCCTTTGTATTCTGTGGCTTTGCCTTCATTGCATTGGATAAGAATGACCTTAAAGGACTATAAAGTAACAAAAGGGAGAAAAACATCACATCACTGGTCTTGCACATGGTGAGGTTTCCAGTCTCTGAGAGTCTGTGGCCAGTTACCTTTTTCCAGTAAGGATAAGGTGCTGATGAGACTGCAGACCTGCAACAGGAAGCTATATAAAATGGTTGTGTGAATAGCACTGAAAGGGAATAATGCTGCTGGGAGACTGTAATGGATTATGCTAGGGAGCAGTCCTGAAATCATGCCATGCAGTTTTCTTTGAGAGAGAAGTATTACCAAGGATGCTCTGAATGTGGCACAGCGTGTTCTAGTGACTGCTGCAGTGGTGCTGATGTGAAACCCCACATTCAGCTCAGCATGACTGAACTCTTTAGCAAAGCCTTGGATGGCTGGAATGGTGAAGGAGCGAAGTCTAAGTGCAGAGCCCTTTTGCTATTACATCTTTCCATCTAGTGTGTTACTTAACTCATTTGCACAGGAGCTTGTAAGGCTTCTGCTGAAGAGAATGCTGTGCTGCTGTCCAAATTGTCAGAATAAAATGTCTTATCTTGCTGCTTGTTATTGTTTTTTGGGTTTTTTAAAGAAAAAAATAAGTATGTGAACTCAAATGCTTAGAACTACCATTTTGTGATATCTGCTATTAGTATGATAGTTGATGCAGGTTACAGTCTCAACTTTGGCATGGGTCCCAAAAAATATTACAGGTATTCTAAAGCACACGAAACATCCACATCAGCATTGGAAAAATATTATTTTGAATATCAATAGTAAAGTTCAACTGGACATACTAAACATTTTCAGCAAACTGACCAAAGATGTACATTTTTGATAAGTGTACCAACAGTATGTTTGACAGCGTGTAGTAATATTTGCCATATCCTTTATGTCTTGAAAAATTCAAGGCTGTAGGGTGAACCTGGAGAGAGAAATGATAGTGATTGCTGGGGAGAACAATGCAGCAAGTACCCAGAGGCTTGTTGGATTGAGACTTCTGACAGAATTACCATTGTGCTCTAGTACGTGTAACATTAGTTCCTCAGACTTTGGAGGAGAGGGCCTGGCAAGCTGCAGGCAAGTGTACAAAACATCGTTTGAGTCTTGGGCAAGACCCACCTCAGTAAGAATGACTGAGTCTTACTGGGCTACTTTACCTTTAGCACAGTGAACTGAAAATCCATGATTTTTCACATACCTTGTATCCTTCCCTTTTCTGAAATGACTTAGCATCTGCCATTCCCGCTGAAGAAGGGAATTGCTGCCAATGCCAGAGGAGATTTGGAATTTGTTTTTGCTTAGCTTCAGTATTCTTCTGAACTTGGAAAAACCAGTAAAGGGACAGTAAAATGGGAAAATTTAGTTATCAGTTTAAACGTAAGATTTGTGGGTCTTTCGCTGGATCAAAAGCAGTATCAGCAATATCATTAGATGAATTATTTGGGTAGGTGGGAGTATTTTGTGTAAGTAAATTTGCTGATTGCACAGAAAGAGGGGAGCATGTTCATCTGAAATACTCCCAAAATGATATAGGCATGAACAAGCGAATGTGGGCTCTAATATGTATGTTATTATGCATGGGAGTAGTGAAAGAGTTACAGCAAAAATAATTGCAACTAATCAGCTCAACTCTATGTTTTTAATAGCTCATTGTAGCCACAATGGCAACGTCATCTGAAGAAGTGTTGCTGATAGTGAAGAAGGTGCGTCAGAAGAAGCAGGATGGGGCCCTGTACCTGATGGCTGAACGCATTGCGTGGGCACCCGAGGGCAAGGACCGCTTCACCGTCAGCCACATGTATGCAGACATCAAATGTGAGTGAGCACTCCTGCTGCAGTCAGCACTGCTGCCATGCATGTGCAGTGTCATACAAAGCTCACCTGCCATTTAATGTTAGCTGTAGCTACATCAGGAAGGTTGCAAGGGGTCTGGAGCTCTGGCCAGGCTACTCTGTAGCAGCAGAGATCAGGACTCTGGTAAAGTATCACCAGCTTAAGAATGCTACCACAGAAGTTCTGTAGTCTTCAGATGTTTAACTTATGCTGCATTTACGATTACCTTTGATACATTTCTGCAATAAAATGGGCAGAAAAATAATTTATGCCATATCCTTGTAGAGGGAAGGGTGGGAGGAGGATCGAAGAAACATATAGGATTTTCAGACTAACAGAGAAACTATCTGGCATGTCATCTGTTTAACTGAGTATCTAAAACTGTTTCGATTTTCACATAAAATGAACTCAGTTTTATTTTCATCCAGCAGACCATAGCTTCAGAAGTGTCAGCTTCTGTAGTTTGGCCTCGCTGGTAACATTCTGAATAAGCATTTGCTGTTGCAACAGCAAAGTATTACAAGTCAAAACTAAATAGTAAATGTCTATAGCATGCTGCCTTTCTGGCTTCAATTAGTGCTCATATTTCATGTGCTCTAATGCCAAAGAAGGAATAAAAAGTAAGTTGTGTGCATCACTTGATAATGGTTTGGTGTTTAAAGTCACATACAAGCACTGCAGCATGATCAAAAGTGTATGATGAATCAGAACTAAGATGATCTTTTCTTAAACATGAAAGTGATATAAAGTTTAAAAGCCCCATTCACCTATGATAGTGAACTTTGTGAAGGTTTTATTTAGCTACTAACTTACACTTAAGCAGCTTGTATATTAAATACATATATGTATAGGCATTGAAGTATTTTAACTTAGATAACTAAGATGTGCTTTTTGTCATCTGAAATAAAAAAGGGTGAGATGTATTTGTAAATTTGTAATAGAGAAGGTGATTTAGTGTTGACATCAGGTTCCCGTCTCCCACTTGCTTTAGAGAGAAGGCTGATATTAAAAGTTAGGTGCCATTTGCAGTGCTTCACTAAAATCACTATAGCACAACAGTCCATAAGCATAGGCGTCCCAGCCTCTGCTCCCTCTGGTTATGAGAATGGAAGCAGGAATTAGGTTTTTCTTATGAGTCATGAGGGTGTAGTAGTACTCTGGAGGCATTGGTGATTGACTTGGGGAGCAGTAACTCCAGTAACTTGGCTAACTGCACTTGGCTCACCACTGGAAACTGGGATGCAGATTACCCGCCCTACCTCTGCTTTCCTACCAGAGCCCTTCTGCAGCAGCTGAGCCAGCTGGCAAAACAAAAGGGGGTGCTTGTCAGTGGATCAGTTCCTTGGTTCAGCTTGCTGCACAAACACTAGCAATCATACAAGAAATGCAGCAGGAAGACCTGGAAAGGGGGAATGAGGTCACCTTTCAGCAGCAGCCTGGACTGGCTCCAGGTTAAAGTGTCCAGGTAATGACAGCCTCATTTGCAGCAGTTTTCTAAAGGATGCTGTGGGGAATGCAAAGATGAATCAGGACTCCTGAGCAGGAGCTGAAGGATATTGAGCAACAGGCTACTACTGCCTGTGTCTTGTATTTTAGAGTGAACAAAGTGCAGGGTTCAAACTAATTCAAGGGGAAGACTTGACTGTTTCATTTTCACAGCTGCAATTCACACATGGGAGAATGGTATTTAATTGGATGATGAGAATAACTGCTTATAATAAATACTCTAAGGAAGACAGTTTCTTGTATAAGCTTACTGTCTGTCTCTCTGCAATCTAGGCCAGAAAATCAGTCCAGAAGGTAAAGCTAAAATTCAGCTGCAGCTGGTATTGCATGCAGGGGACACAACCAACTTCCACTTCTCCAATGAAAGCACAGCAGTGAAGGAGCGAGATGCAGTCAAGGATCTTCTTCAACAACTGTTGCCCAAGTTCAAAAGGAAAGCTAATAAAGAACTTGAGGAGAAGAACAGGTAAAGGGGGGTAGCAGCCTAAAAGTTTGTTGGTTTTTTTTTTTTTCTTCTAATTGTTAGCTAACGATCATGTAATTCTGTTAATAGTTGTTGCTATTTCAACGTCATGAATGATACAGCAATTGTTTCCCTAGTAAAAATCTCCCTACATTCAATTTCAAGGCTGTTCCTTGAGACTTGCATAACTGTCACATGTTGAGACTACACTTGTGTGCTTAGTGACACGTTGTTGAGGTGTAAAGGCAGCCAGTCTGGCTGCCACCCGGTCTTTCTTATCCATAGCTGTGAGAGGAGAGCACCCAGCTGGCAGTCTGTATCTTTAGTTTTCTTAAATATATATGCAGTTAGAAAAGCTGTTTGAAAGATTTTTTTTCCCCCTTTTCCAGAAATTTTGTGGAGCCTGGTGATATTTCTTTTCCTCCCCATAGAGCCCCATTTGCCCCCCAAATCTTTTCTGATATTTTATAGATAACTAAATTGTTAGGTATTTTCACGCATGTCACTTGAGAGGCTGCAGTTTGTTATTTGGCATACAGGATGTTTATTCTAAGAAATGTTTTGAGAAGATGCTGAGGACCTAAGTCCTTTTCCCAATGGGCTCTTGAGATACATTTCCGTTCCTTTAAAATGTTTGTGTTAACCCAGTCCCTGTGGCCTCAGAGCTCTCTTCTCTGCATCTCCCCTGATGAGTTTCACTTCATTCTACTGTCTGCTGTGAATCCTGTGTCTAATGGCCTCCATTTCCAAAGACTGTTATAGCTCTGAACATAGTTAAGTTAAAGCTAGATTTTTCAAAACATGAGAGCATTGCCTCATGGGACAGACTGGATCTTAACAAGATTTCCCAGCAGAAGGGCAAGAGCCCTTGTGCTGGAGCTGTGACACAATCAGGATTAACTGGTTCCAGTACTGCAGCAACTACTAGAGTCTGCACCAATGCAGCCTGCTTTGGCACTGTTCCCATACTCATTTCTATATGCTATGTGCCTTATTTCTGGCAGTATTCTTCTGAGAACACGGGCAGTCTTAGCTCTGAATCCTTGCCTTCTTAAATGGAGTTTTACAGCATCACACCATGAGTATCAGGAGCTTTTCTAGTTACAGGAAAGCCAGAATCCCTGCATGTACTCAGCCATAGTTTGTTCTCTTGATTAGAAGTCCAATTCTGATGATGGGGCTTCGTTAGCTTAATTGCCACAGATAATGCAGAAAAGATCCAGCCTGTTGTGGAAGGATACAACATCTAGAGTCCCCATGGCACTTGCTCCATTTATTGATATGTGGGAGTTGGGTACGTACCAAAATTCCAAGCTTTAATGAAATAACCAGAATAACAGACTGCTTTCAGCTGCGCTCATTTGTAAGAACTGCCACTAATCCATACTTGTGACAATAAGAAAAACTGGAGAAACCTTGCTGGTTAAAACATGATAGGGCTATCCTGCCACAAAGCTTTCATTTCCACCTCATCCTACCTTGTCCTTATAGCAGCTAAAGGCTTTCATTCTGTCCAGACTGCCGTTTATCCATGTTCATCCTTAGACCATGTATCCATAAGACTCCTGATTTTTTTCGTTGTTTGCAATTGATCAAGGCCCTGACGTACACGTTAAAGACTGGTGAGGTTATTGGCAGGTTGTGAACACACTTGCACACTTCCCTGAAAATAGCCCAGTGGGCTTCTAATAGGGTACACAGCTGTAAAAATAGCTGCTTAAACACGAGTGAAAATTCAGGTGCATAGTCCTTGCATTTTGTGTAGTGATACCTGATATGTGGATGATAATTTCTGTAAAAATTGCTCCCTGGTGGAAGTAGTGACACGGAATGTGTCTCACACTTGTGCTGTGTCTGATTAAGGGATGAAGATCCAACTGTTACCAGAGAAACATAAGTGAGCAACCATTGGGGTAATGTGTTTTAACCGATCTAATCCCATACATATTTTGTGATCTATGCTCTTGCACTAGAATAGAGATCTGTAGCTACTGAATTTTAAGATCTTAAACCAAGAATTGGACAGCACTGAAATCTCCTTTTTTTCCTCCCCCATCATACTTTTGTTTTGGAACAGCAAGAATATTCATTGTGCTTTTACAGTTCAGGGGATTCTAGTCTTGCTGTGCCAAGACACAAAAGCACCACAGAATATTTTAGGACAAGACATGAATCCCACATTAACTTTTTCTTAGGCATTACTGTTTTCTAACTTTCAGTGTTAACATCCCTTTTTAAAGTTTTTTCAGACAAACAGCGCTATTGACATTGGTTGTTTACTCAGTCTTCTTAAGAAATGCACTGCATTTTGAAAGAAAAGTTGGTTTCTGTTCCTTTTGTGAACTTGTGTTAGTTGTGGAAATACTAGTCATTTATTCTGCAGTGTTTCAATTCTATTCAATACGTTCTTTTACCAGAATGCTGCAAGAAGATCCTGTTTTGTTTCAGCTCTATAAAGACCTTGTTGTGAGCCAAGTAATCAGTGCTGAAGAATTCTGGGCCAACCGTTTAAGCTTGAATGCAGGGGATAATTCTGCAGCACCTAGTAAGCAGGATGTGGGCATCTCTGCAGCATTCCTGGTATGTTGAACCTTTAACTTGTAGGATTTTAGAGCAAACAGATTGGGGAAAGTGAGAGTTCTGCTCATGCACTTTATTCCCATATACATGAATGTTGTACTTTCCTGGTTCCTCAACATCTCTCTGCTATTCTAAGTGTAAAGGAGAAAAAAAAGTTTCCTACTGATCTGCAACCTCAAAATGTTGTCAGTTGAAGATGCCCAATTTGAACTTTAAATTGCCAATAGGCAGATGATGTTTGTACTGCTGCTCTGCCTTCTGTAAAACAGGAGTGATGTGAATATATGGTCACTAGATTAAAGTGTATGAGCTCAATAAATTAAAGAGCATATTTGTGGCAGCAATGACATGCATAAATGAAACTTTCCACATAAGGGTTTTATTCCCTCCCCAGTTTTTTAAACCAGTACATGCTTTCAGCTACTTGAAGAACAACTTGTGTATCTGGAAGCTCATTTTCTCTCTCTTTTTCTTTAACTTTCAGTTATTTTACCCATTTGTAGAAACCGTGCTTCAGTAAATTCAGTGCAGTCTAAAAGTAATCTAGTTACAACTTCAGATTACTCAACAGAGACATGTTTCTGCTTCTGCAAGAAAATTCACAGATAGGATTCTTTAGATGGAATCCCACTTCCACCTCTGTAATGACTGTGCACACATTGGGTTTGAGAGGGAAAGAGGAGGTAGGAATTGTTTTAATTTAGCTGCTAGTTCACATCCACTTGGTCCCCCTCCCCCCCCTTGGAAATACCTGAATCAGTTGCCAAACAAATTTGATTGCTCTGATTTCCTGTCTCCCATTATTCTTACACCTTAATGTTAAAAAAGGAAACCACAGTGAAAAGTAAACCCACTAAACCTTCAAAACTAAAACATTCTTAAACTAACTGGTTATGTTTGTGTTGTCTGCATTTGTGAAGAAGACTTCTTCAGATATTTGTGTGCCCAACTCAATTTAAACCTGGCTCTGCTCAGAATGAGTGTTAGCCTAGGAAGAAGATGGTTCAAAAGCTAGACGTGAGGTACACAGGCAAAGGAGGAAAAGGCACCAGCCTGTGCAATCATGTACTTTTCCTGTTTCTGAGAACTGGCTGGAGCACTCACCTCCTCTAGAGCTTCCTAAAGACATCACGGAGATCCAAGTTCAGAGTTCTGACTACAGCTAACCCTTAAGCTTTTAATTCAGCGTTACTTATCAGTTACACTAAGACGTTTTTAGTGCATAAGGGAATAAGGTGTAAGAGGCATAAATCCTTTTTTGTTGCTTCATTATAGCCACTGATTATTCACTAGCTGAATTGTTGAGTGAACAATAAAACATGAGGCATATACAGTATGCTGACTTAATTTTACTTTCACACAAGGATAAGCATCAGTTAATTAAGCATACCTTGTTTTGACCAATGGAGTGCTCTTTGCTTTCTAAAGCCTGCAGTCTGCTTGTTAATCATCCCTTAAGTGGCAAGTATAATAAAGTAATTCACATTTGCTCATTCATTGCTCATTCTAAAATCCCTGTGTACAATCAAATGCGCTGTGGATTAATGGAGGAAGAAGATTATTTTACCTGCAGCAGACTTTGCTTGCAAGATGTCAGTTCTTTTCCTTCTCCAGTTACAGAAAGCATTGAGACATGACTGTTTTTCCCTTGTGTGCTTTTCCTCAGGCTGATGTACGGCCTCAGACAGACGGCTGCAACGGGCTGAGGTACAACTTGACTTCAGATATTATTGAATCCATATTTCGGACATACCCTGCAGGTAAGAGCAGTGTTTTACATACCAAACACATCCATTTAAGATTGGTCTTTTTACTGTCTTACTGTAGAAAGACTAAAATGTTAGTCTGAGCCTGGAAGTATAAGGAACCGTATCTTCCAGTCTTCTGGATAATTTTCCCTGCCTTATTAGAGGGATAGGAAGAAGCATATTCATATGTTTCATAAAAGCATAAAATATACTTTTGAAATGAAAACTTGATTTTATTAAATGAAAACATTTTAATTTATGTTGACTTTCTGTTTTTTAAATTGTGAGTAAACACTTGATTCCCATGATACTCTCCTACTCAGTGTTCCAATTAATTGTTATTTTTCATGAAATCACCCTTGGGAGGAAAAGAACCTGATTTCCATCATTTCCCGTGCACTGTAACGAGCATTGACACTGATTCATTTTGGCCCCTAGCGTGGGGGCAATTCAAGAGTGTTCAGGCCACTGTTACATGCACTTTTTAAAGCTTTACAGCATAAATGAGTACCTGTTTGCTCATGCTTAACTACTGCATTCCCTTCCATTTAACGGGAATGAATGGAGGCAGCCATCAAGGAAGCCATCAAGAAAATGGTAACATAAAATACCATCTTAAGATTTGTGAAACAGTTTGTAATTGTTCTGGGTTTTGTTCACAGTAAAAATGAAATATGCAGAGAATGTTCCACATAACATGACCGAGAGGGAATTCTGGACACGGTTTTTTCAGTCTCATTATTTTCATCGGGACAGGCTCAATACAGGCTCAAAAGACCTCTTTGCAGAATGTGCCAAACTGGATGAGAAAGGTAAGCTGAAAGCTACAGATGGCCATGGAAAGTTAGCTACAGCTTTGCCATTCTGAGCATGTTTCATAGTGAGAGCATTTCTTGGAACAAATTAGCCTTTGGAAAGTGGCAGCACTAGAAATAAGCTTTACTACAAATTCCATAATATGCCATCGCAGTAGATTGATTGTGTGCCATCAGTTACTATGGAATAATTTTTTGTACACAGTAGGTTTTGTTATGTGGTTTGTGCACAATTTACAGCAGGTACAGCTTTTTTTACAGATGGAGTTTTAGTAAATGAGATTGCTATTAGTTCAGATTTTCCAGAGGAGTTGCCATGCTTATTCTCTGAAATTCTAAAATATTATCTGACTCCAGTTTTTTATGAACTTTGGAGATAGGTTTGTGATGATACAGAAATGTGAGGATTTGGGGTCTCTTACCACCATTCCATAACAGAAGGCTTTCATTAGCCAAAATATATATTAGGAATGCAAAACCCTTCATAAGTCAAAGCTATCACCAGATATAAACTGTCATACTACCCAGGCAGGGCAACAGAACAGTATCAAAATTAGAGGAAATGCAATTTTGGCTTCCCAGTTTCCACTACTATAACTGCATCTCCATTTATTTTTTTAATCCGTGTTCAGTGAGGTGTAGAAGTTGGTGAAAACTGGGCTAATTAGTAGAAAGATGTTTTGGAGTAACTTCCCACATTTATTGCTTATTTTAAATTGAACTTTAAAAAGGGTTTAAAGTTTTAGTCCCAGTGTTACTTGGGACTGTGCAGAACCTTTGTCTTCATTTAAAGATTAAATATAACCTAATGATACCACAGTTACTCTATTTGCTTAGATACAGTTTTTCATGATTTTTTCAATTTCTTTCACACAGGGTTAAAAGCAATGGTGTCTCAAGGAGTGAAAAACCCCCTGATAGATTTAACAGCTTTGGAAGATAAAACATTAGATGAAGTAAGTACTTGGGGGAAAAAAACAGAAAATAAATAAAAAAACAGAAGAAAATCATACCCCTTCTTTAGTTACATTTAAGTGGATCCTTCTTTTAAAATCACTATAAATGCTAATTCTAAAACAAATCCCTTACTAGGCAGTTGCAGTGGTTGGGTACTCAACATTCCTACTGTTGTGTGTGTGGAGGGAAATGGAGACTCTGCCCATGGACCTGTGTGGTCACATCTGCCTTGGTGTGCAGGGTGGAAATACAGGACTTCCCTTTGTTAATAGAATTACTCTGTCATTTGGCTTTTCTGTCTAAAGTGAACCCTGTTTTTTTCCTACCTTTTAAACCCTGTGACAATGTACAGCAGAGTAGCACAAAAAAGGATTTCATTTGTTCATAGTTTGAACATTGCTACTTGATTTGGCCTAACTGAAGGACACTTTATAAAGTGTTCTTTGTTTAGATTCAAATACCTTTTTTTGCTAAAATTGTGACTAACTTGAACTATAACCTGCCTCCAAGAACAAGTTAAAACAATTCATTATCCATGGTGTACCATAATATGAAGTAACTAAGAGATGTGCTTTTCTGCAGTGATTTAACCAAAAGTGTTCAGTTGTAGTTAATAATGAAGGTGCATTTCTAAGATTTTTGGTGGTGTTTTTTTGGATTTTCATTTTCTTTTTGTGGGAGTTGTCCAAAGCTAGCAGTCTGAAACTAGAGCATGAGTTTAGGATAGGTGTGTTAGAAGTGCTCTGCAAACTGCCCTGATAGCATGAAACTGCCCATGGGGTAAAGTGCCATCTGGCAAGTGGGGAACTCTGCCAGCATTTTAAGGCTTGAAGTTTTTTGAATTTTCTAGTGGTATCCCATTTTCCTGACAGGTATATTTTAGCCTGTGGGCTGCTGCTCTCCCAGTAGATGTTAAAAAGCAGTCAGTAAAACAATTGCTGTATTTTCCTTGCCATCAATTCCTGTTCTGCACAGGTGATCTTGAAATTTTTTTTTACTGATTTTACCTATATCATGGTCTTACAAAATTACCTGTGTAAGACTTGTTACCTTCTCTCTGACACCTCTAAATTGCCAAGTGTTTGCAGAATAAAACAGTCACTGGATATTTTTCAAAGTACCTAAGGAGATGGTGGTGCAAAGGCAGGAAAAGGATGCTGTGGATGATGATGCAGAGGAGGTGGCTTCCTGGCTCAAGGGAAAAGAGAATTGTCTTGCTGCTCTGGGGACAGAAGAGAATCAATGTTGTTTTCTTTGTAGGGCTATGGTGTTGCTTCTGTGGCCTCTACATCAAATGCCTCAAAGTCTGCTAGAGAAAGTAGCAATGCTGCCATCATAAAACGCTTTAATCATCATAGTGCCATGGTCCTTGCAGCTGGCCTCAGGAAACAGTAAGTTTCAGTGTTGTGTAAAAGATTTTTGGAGTAAACGTTAAGAAATTTCCAAAACAAAAGCACATCTTCAGTTATTCATACAACCTTTTCTTTTAATTTTCTATGAATGATTTTCCTCTAGAAATGAAAATACCTTTAGGTTTCATTTTACTTTATAGAAGTTTTTCAGAGATGTTTGAAATGACGATTGCTATTTTTAGCTGAATTATGATATAAAGCAAATTAAAAAGGAAAGAATGTGTCTGCCTTAGATGTCTAGCCCTGGTGAAGGCTGCAGAAGTAGTGTTCTGTGTGCTGTGTGGAGGTCAGGTGTGGTACAGGGAGTTCCTGTTTCCTGCCTTCCAGGAGCAGGTCTGCTGGGGCTTCCTGCAGTGTGCCATAGGTGGATCAGATGGAAGACTCCTCAGGTGCAGTACCCTGCCCCTGATCAAAAACACTTGTCAGGTCATCTGCTCTTCAACTGCTTTCTGCACAGCCAGATTACTACTCTACCCAAATCCTACAGACATTAACTGTGAGAGGTCGAAGTTAATACTTCCTTCTGTTTAGCTGGGCTCCCTCACATTGTTCTTCTGTTTTGCACAAATTGAACACTGCACCTTAAGCAATCTCTTCTGGGCAAAGTGTGTTTCTGTTTCTCAGTTCAGAAAGGGACAACAGGATAGGTCTCCTGGAACAGTTGTATTGCAGGGCTCCCAGAGCTCTCCTAATACTTGGTTTCATAACTGTGTATACAAAGTGTTGCTCATTTTGCCATGATTTTGCTGTGTCCCACATGCACTGTTGACATGCTGCTATTTCTGAAGAGAGGGACCAGCACCTTCTCCTGCTGTTGAATTTCCCCAGTGACAAACAGGGTTAATGTGAGGAGTTGGTTCCTTCTGTCTACATCAACTTCTAGAAATTAAGACATAAGGGGAAAAAAGTATGTGAACGTGCATATTAAGTTTTGAAACAGATGTATTTACTTTGTCTCTAGCTTGTATCTTAAGTTTCCTGTGAGGTGAATTCTTCTTAATGCTGTTTCTCTATTTTAAGAGAAGCACAAAATGACCATTACAGTGAGACCAGCAGTACGGATGGAAACTCCAGGGATTCAGATTTCTTTCAGCCACCACTGAAAAAGGTATAAAGTTAGCTGATGTGATTCTAACTGAATGGAACTGGAAGCTCTGTCTTTCAAAAAATTGCTGAAAGTTCCTTACTTGTTTTATGACACATCTGAAGTGAAACTTTATTAGCCTGGCTTAGAAGTATATAGAATAACAACCTGACAGCCTGTGAGAAGCCTCTGTTACCTCTGGTAGTGAAAACAAGTAAGTTACACATTGAAGTGTTGTGCTGTTTATCTCTTCAGTAGCACCCGGTGAAAGTAAAAAATTCTAAAATGCTGCAGATTGGACTCAGAAATCTGGTTCTTTGCATTTCCTTAAGTTCTATTTTCAGCCCCCTTCCTTTTGTTTCTCCTTCAAATGCCTGAAAACTTCTAGAGAACATCCATCAGAAAAGGATATTGGTGTTCAAGCACCAATATTAACCTGTCAAATGTGTTGTTTGTAGAGGGGATGATGAAACTGGCACATGAGAGCCTTCATCTTAGTCAGAAGCTGAAGTGAGGTTGAACTGAGAGTGCAGTGACAACTGTGCAATGAAATACAGGGCAACAGCCTGGTCTAGACTAACCAGAGCAGCTCACCAAGTGGAAGAGAGTACTGTATTTGCTATAAAACTGAATTGAATACTCTTCCTGGAGTTGACAGCCTAAATAGAAAACATCAGAGAGACTCAAAACTCGGCTGTATTGTGAGAAAACATTATAGAATACATGTGTTGTTAAATATTGAGTCTTTGACTTTCCTCAAAAGCTGCAAGTTTTACTGAGCAGAAAATTACATAGCAAGATGAGAAGAAATGTGATGAAAAGGGGAGTGAAAGACTAGCAAGAGACTTAAGAGACTTCAAAAATAGTTTTCTAGTTGTACAAAGTGTGATATCACTGTGCTGTTACCTCTCACTGCTAATATTCCACCAGGAGTATTAATAACATCTATGACTAGTCTAATGACTAATATTGTCACCAGGTAGCTTGGGGTAATTACTGTGGTTTTAGTCTTAGACTTCTATACACTAGCTATTAAATCATTAGTATTTCTGCTAATCTGGAGTTAGATGGACAAAAATAGAGAGCATGAATGATTATCTGTGTATACTTTTTGGAAATAGCAGGGACTACCTAATTTTAGACAGAATCTGGAGAAAAAGCAATGGTGCCAAGACTTCCAAATGGCCCATCCTGAACAACATTGGGCATCACTTCCTCTGGAGAGTAGGCATGAGTCATTCCATACCTGAGGTTTTTTTAAGGTTTTAGTAACCCTTCAGCTCAAACTTGGTGCACCAGAAGAAAGCACTGGATGTATGGACTTGTGCCTTCAGTAGTAACATGTGTCATTATTTGGCTCATTTTAGGTAAAACTGCAGGAGGCCATTGAATACGAAGATTTATCAAAGAATAATAGCATTAAAACTATTGCACTAAACTTAAAGAAGTCTGATAGGTAAGTTAAAATAATGCACAGCTATTTCAGTAGAGCCAGCTTATCAGGGGTTTCATCATAGCCCACACAGGACCAGCTGATTTAGTCCCTACTGTGCCACACTGAGGTGTGTTACAACTAAGTTTAGAAACCTAATATGAGCTTTTGCATAAATCAGTTTCCCTCTTAAATTTATAGTTTTATTTTCAGAGTGGTTGGGGTAAGAAGGGACATCTGGAGATCATCTAGTCCAACGCCTCTGCCAAATTTCATTTTAGTTTTCAGAGGGTTGATTCTCTATAAGCCAACCTGAATGACCTTGATATGTAATTTCTGTGAAAGCCTAACAGACTTCTGTTCACAGTTCAGCACATTGTTGCAGCTTTCAGTGGAATAACGTGTTACATATAAAAATACACAGAATTCCAAGAAAAATCCAGCCCCAGTGGAATTGGGATGGTTTGAACTGCTCACTGGTCTAGGATTTTTCTAGTAGTAGTCCTCTTGTTTTCTAGACTTTTGATTTTGAGAACCATAGATGCAACATCAGAAAAGGAGCAATACTATCAGAAATTTAATGGTTCCATGTGTGCACCAAACTTAATTTAGGTTAGTTTCAGTTGAAAGTGGTGTGAATTACTCCATTCTAATGATATTTCCAGAATTTGCTGCCAGGGGTAGCTTTTCGTTGGCAAAATGATGATCACAGATTCAGCAATAGAAGCTTTTATTTGCTGCCATACCATCCCTAAGCCAACCTCTTCCCATGTGGCAATATTGTACTTTATCAGTAAATAGTGTCAACAATTGCAAAACATGTAAAATTAGAAACATTAGAAGAACTGTCGAGGAGTTTGCTCTCTTGCTTTACCAACACTCTTACTAATAACACTTTTCCTTTTTCTCACATCACAGGTATTACCATGGTCCAACTCCAATTCAATCACAGCAATATGCAACCAGTCAGGATATAATTAATTCATTTAATAGTATTAGACAAGAAATGGAATCATATGTACCCAAACTAACTCAGGTATGGAAGTATATTTTAAAAATGCCTCTCTTGATCTTAGCTTAGCATCTTGCTTTCTATACAGTTTTGTGTCTCATGTCTACTGAAGTTTCAATTTTTCATGGTAAGCTTAAATTATCTCCAGTTTCTGTTAACTGATTCATTTTACAGGTTTAAGTGATACCTTTTGAGCTGTTGTGTTTAAAATCTACACAATAGGAAACTGAGTTATTGATGCTCAGTTCTATTCTTCTGTTCCTGCTGTCTTTTGAGGAAGTGGTCACGGTATAAGGTAGCAAAGCAGGGCAGTCATGCACAGGCCGGTGTGTTGATCCCACCCTGAGAAGTTTAGGAGGCTACAGTGATCAGGTTTTTAACTGAACTGGTCTTTTGCTCCTAAATGCTCTCAGCCTGCTGTGGGCTGCTCTGTGCTGGCACCTGGAGGGCAGCAGAGCCCTGTGGTCAATCTCCCCAGCCAGCATCTGAACTTACTTGTTTGTAAACCTAGTTTGGCCCTAAGTAAAGCAGCCACAATTCTGCTACACTTCTGCATAGTAATGCTCTGTTTTATTTCAGAGTAAGTGCACAGCCAGTTCAAGGTCTAGGCAGAGAAGAGGTTATAATTAATTGGAGAGTTTTCACTGCAAACGCGCTCTAGCACATAATTTTGGAGAAGAGCAGAACCTGAACTTCCATGTATGTGTTCAACTAATCTTATTTTTAAAAGAGTTTATTAGAAAAAGCAACCTGAAATATTTGTTCCCTTTCTCTCCAGGTTCTTTCAAGTGGTGATGCTGCCAGCACTATTGCAGTCCTGTCACCTGGAGGAGCACTTATGCAGGGTGGAACACAGCAAGCCATAAACCGTAAGGATTTGGGATGTCTAATGCTGTAATTGTATCCTGCTGCGTTGCACAGCACAAGCTGGCTTGCTGTCTAATGTCTCTCCCTTAGAAAATGTTACAGTGGTCAAGGAAAGTATGGAAACATGTAGCTGGAGTAGCACTGGGTTACAGCAACAAAAGAAAAGCAACAACCCAGCCACACCGTGGGGGTGGTAATGGCTACACCAGTGCTGAGGCAAGTGAACGAGAGAACATTTTACACAGCAAGTAATGAAGAAAACACCTGACAGATACCAAATTGTCTTACAGATACAGACTTTCACTTGTTCAGCATTTCTAATTTTTTTTTCCCTGGATTGTAGAATACAACATATTCTGTGAAAACTCTTAAGGAAGCAAAGCCTAGATAATCGTCTGAAACTAAGTTTTTTGCAACCTGTATTTAAGATCCAAGCTTGCTGTGAAAAAAGGCAATTTCCTTGTGCACTGCAAGGGCAAATCAGACAGCTTCTCCTTCTCACACCTCCATTCAACCACCCCTTCCCTGTTGTCACATTGCTGCCAGTTTGAGTACCTGTCTCTTTAGTCTCACAGCAGATGAATCCTTGTTCTCAGGATTTACTACAGTTTTCCAGGTTATTTTGTGTTACTTGGTCTAAAAAGCAGGAGAAAGTGATTCAGCTGAAAAAGCGAGTGTGAGTTCTTTATGGTACTGAAAGAAAAGGAATCAGCAAGCAGTGGTGAGGACTTCTTACCCATCCTAGTTGACATATTGGCTACTACACTTCACTTCTTTGAGCCTGACCACTTCTTTCTTTTAAAAGAAAGTCTTATCCTGAAATTTGATATTCACTCTTCAGTTCCCTGTGCTGATCCTCAGTGACTACTTGTACCTTTTTTTGGGTTTTTACAGCTGTGGCTCTTTCCTTGTTCTTGAACCCTGACACCCTTTCTTCTTTAAGAGTGCCTGGGACACGGTTTTTTCCTATCTGGATTTTTCATCTTCCACATGCTGTAACCATATTGCCAGCATAAGATAAAGGGAAAAACTTGAAATACCCACCACAGAGTTCTTAGCACTGTGCTGGTGCCAACAGCAGCAGCACTGCCACACTGTTAGAACAATACTAATACACTGTTTCTAATCCCAGATTAGGTTTGGTGTCCATTCTTTGCCTGGTATGGATCTCCCTAAATAATACTCTAGCTTCCAAGTATAGAGCCATAAATAGCTGACCTGATCTAACAGCTGCTGGTAGTCTTGGTCTAATTGCTGCTGAGGTGTGAGACACCTCAGTGTTCCCTCCCAGCCACTCTTTCTGTGACTGTAGTGGAAGGATACATCACTGAGCTCCTTTGTCAGCCTTAGTTCTCATTATTCATATGATCATTTGAGTGATGTGAAAAACGCTTTTTCCTGTTGCAGAGATGGTGCCAAATGACATTCAGTCTGAGCTAAAACACTTGTATGTGGCAGTAGGGGAACTGCTACGACACTTCTGGTCCTGCTTCCCTGTTAACACGCCATTCCTAGAAGAAAAGGTAAGGCATAGCTTCCTCTTATGGCCCTGGTTATGATGTGGTTTAGAATGGCTGTCATTACTGAAGTATAGAACTAATACACATGCCTCAAATCAGTAGAGCACTTACTCATCCCTAGATCTGAAGGTCACAAAATAACATGAAACCCTATTTTTTACAGCAGTTCTGCTGGTACTATTAATTGAAATCATCCTTGTCCCTGCCTCCCTGTTAGCTCCCTTTAGGAGCAGTAGCTGTAGCCAGTTTCAAACAGAATAGGCAGCTCAGTTGCAGCTGCAGGGTTCTCATTCCAGTTTAAAACACAAAAACTAAAGGCTCCCTTCCCCAGCTCTAAGAAATAACCAGCACAGTGACAGTACAAACAAGTATCTCTTATTCTTCTATCTATTGCAAAAATCACTGTCATACCTTCAGAACACACACTGCTTTTGAGAACTAAGTTGCCTTCAAGGACAGGTGTTTGTCTACAGCCACGCCTATGATTGTAACTACTTTTCTGTTGATTTTCCATCCTCATCCTCCTTTGTTATCCATCCTCACATGGATAACAAAGATAAAAATTTTCATTCAGATACCTTTGAACGTCTGCTGCCTGAATGTGGCCTGAAAATCCACAATCTTTGCTTGAAGCAAAAAGCCATTTTGTGAATATCTTGTATCTATTTATGGTGTTCATTAAGGAAGTAATAATCAGAGTGGCATACTGCACTTATCTCAAAAATAAATACAGAGAAGTATTAGAGACTGATATTTGAATAACTTTCCTTCCTCAAACTACACAAACTTGAAGTAGCCCCCAGAATTACTTATAAGGTGTTTTGTTGGAGAACAGTTTGTTAAAGGAAATCAAACTTCTGTGTTACTATAATTCTTCAATATTGTAATACTGGTTTCTGTCTCTCTCAGGTTGTGAAAATGAGGAGCAACTTGGAAAGATTTCAGGTCACAAAGCTCTGCCCATTCCAAGAAAAGATTCGGAGACAATATTTAAGCACAAATGTAAGGGGAAAGTTGTTTAATTATATGCGTGTTTAATTCTATGGGTGCATATTAATAATTTCAGTCTTAACTATGAGAGGATATAGCTTTGTTACTTCTTACCCTCGGGCATTATAGTTTTTTTTGTTGACTAGGAAATGAGCAGAGGGAAATTGGGTACACAGTTAAGCAGTCATCTCTCCCTGTCCAATTGGCTGAGTGATGCCAGCAACTGTCAGGAGCTGTAACTTGAACTTAGAGGAGTGATAGAACAGAAAGGGGAAGTCACATTTCATTTTTCACTTCCACCATGAAGTAGAACTTGAGCAACTTCAGAACACTCCCCCCATGTCAGATTTGAAGTGGTCACAGACTAAATATCAGGACAGACAGCACAATGGAGTGGCACTTCCCCCAACCTTTCAGCTCAGCAGCTCTCTGCACTGCTTCCTCTGTGGATGTTTTGCAACAGAGCCTCAAGGTCCTTTCTCTGATTTTAGCAAAATTACTTGTAGTGAATAAAAGGAAGAATGCACCTGAAAGGGAGGGGAAGGAATTCTGTTTTCCAGCAGCTGGGACGATGTTCTCTCCCTTTTCCTGTTTCAGTTGGTAGGTCATATAGAAGAGATGTTGCAGACAGCCTACAATAAGTTCCACACGTGGCAGTCCCGGCGCATGCTGAAGAAGACGTGAGGGCACGTCCTGTACAGGTCTGAGAGCAAAGCCTGCAGTAGGGTAGGACTCCAGCCTAGCTCTGTGCACATCTTAGAGTTGTTGCAGGAAGACCTGCAAGCTGTGGACTTCTGGAAACGATGCTAACTGAACTTGCACATTTTTGAAAAAGAACTGAGATTAAACTTGAAAACTAGGGAGAAAAATAAGGAAGAACCAAAACGGAAGAGCTGAGGCGCAAATATATTTAAAAGACACTGTTTACTGCAGTTACTCAGGAACTGCTTTTGATTTGCATAAAGAGCTGCTTTCAGAAATAAAAAAATTTAAAGAGGGTGTATTAATAAAATTTGTTTTTCTGGCTAATTTTTTTTTTTTAAGAAGTGTATGGCACAGGGTAGATCTCAAAAGTTTTTCTTCACTGGATTCTGACATTTTCTTGAATTCTGTTTGTACTTTCTGCAGCAGTTTAACAATGATGTTTTAAAACATAGCTGAGACTGTTTGCTTCAAACATCTGGGAGAGTGTAGCTGTCAGAAGACAAGCTCCTGCCATATGTTTCCCCACCAACTGAAAGCAAGAGACATTGCACTGAAAGCTGTTCGTGGTCTGGGGTCCCTAAAGGTACACAGGGGCAAACTTTTGCCTGAAGTCTTCGATTTTTATGCAAAAATTTTTCAGCCATCAGTTTTGCATGTTTCCTTTTGAGTGCAAGTGTGTGCTACTGCAATCTTTTTTTTTTATGGTGGCATTTGTTCTAAGGAGAGAATGCATTTTTAAAAATGAAGTTAAATAAAGTTTCTTACAAAAGAAGTCATTTATTTTCAATTCTTAGGCATTTTTTATTTCTTCTTCTAAATATGTTTTCCTTCACCCTTCCCTTTTGACTATTATACTATTTTTGGCGAATTGATAATCATTGCAAAGAGAAAAATGTGTTATTTACACAGTGTTCATAGGTATTGGGAATCTGTGCCATACTTGTTCTAAATAGAATCAGTTCACAGTTTCAGACCAATTTGTCTTGTATTAAATGTGACTTAAATGCAAAGTAACCCCCTTTTCTATATTATATGCAGTTTAATGACAACCTTGTATTTTTTTGTCACTTTGACTGGACAAAAGCCCAGTATGGGCTACTGAACTTTTTTACTTCAGATTAAATGTGACTGTTAAAGATGCATCTACTACAAAGACAAATCAGACACAAACATGTATTCAAAGCAAGCACAGCAGTGTTGAGTACAGCAGAAGAAATTCCCCAAACCTGCATGATGGCTTAATACTACACTTTGGTATGATGCTAAAACATGGTAGTATGATGTGGGGTGGATAATCATTGAAAATTTCTACAGCAGAAAAGATGTATTGGTGTAGCCAAGTGGGTGCTTGTTCTGTGCTGCTGCTCTGTTTATGCAAGAGGGTTTTTTTTCTTTAACTGGTGTGTGGAAGTCAGCAGCTTCTTTTGACCCTTTTCTTTCAGATTTTTGTATTATGCTATAATATTTTGGTAAAAGCTGAGTTTCAGTTAAGCATCACTGTCTGCACCAATGTCCTATTGAGAAATGTGTGCACATTGTTCAGCCTCATTCCCTGTGTGCTGCTGCAGATCCATGCATGATCCCTGCTCTGCACTGTCCGTGTGGTTCTGCTATGAGAAACCACTGGGCTCAACCAGAGATGCCCACTGGTCTTGACAGGGTGAAAATGTCACTGGGAATGAACAGATGTACTACAGCACTTGGGGGATGAGGTGCACATCTTGTCGAGAGTTACCTCTTGTGAGAACTAAACTGTTTCTCTAAAATTTAGGCTGAGGTTGTGAGTTCATGAAGCCAAATCCCCTTGTAAGTGCAGGCAGCTTCCAGAAAAAAAAAGGTAGTTTTGTTCTCCCCCAATCAAAAGCATTTGGTCTAGCAATTCTGAGGACAAATTCCAACTGTTCCTTGAAAGCTAACACACCTTTCATCATATCAAAAGGCTAGGGTCAAGAAAACAGATATGACTTACATTTTAACTATGCCTCAAGCTGTGAACAACACATTTAAGTATTAGACTGCAGTGAGACTTCATTTATAAAAAAATCCTAGGAGAGTTTTGAATATGGAACTAATTAATCTTTAGTTCGAATGTATTTAGTGTTCCTGGAAAGACTGAGAAAAATGGTGAAAAAGTGTCAGTGCATCACAAGAACATTTTACAGCTCCAAGGACTGATGTTTATTACCATTTTGGGGATGGTTTTGCAATAGCTTTAAGTTATAATGATATCAGGCTATCAAAATGTACCTTAATGACCAGAACTAGCGGGAGGAGGACTATGATACTAAATTCAACAGTTTTGCCTAGAGATTGTACAGGCAAGGCTGCTATGCACTTCATGTTGCTTTTTCAGGTATTGTGGCAATAAGGCATAGGCCCCTCCTCAAGTAAAGGGAGGTAAACTAAATATTCTTTCTACATTGTGTTCCCCTTTTCTGTAGCATGGTCCAAAACACAGATTCATTCCTTAAGTTTTGAAACTGAATCATCATGCATTATATTACTATGGGAATCTTTATACTGACTTGTATTTTTAATGAGAATTCATAAACCTTGTATCATTGGCATTGATCTAAGATTTGTAGAATAAACCCTACTGAATTCTGAAGTGAAGTCTTCTCTAATGCTTAGGCTGTGTTTTCTGATTGAATTAAATCCCTAACAGTTTCTGTTCAGGTCTAAATTGAGAGAACTACGTGTAACTCACTTAGCTGTCCCTTGGTGCTGATAGGTCAGCAGCAAAAGGCTTACAATATAATTCTTGTCAAATAGTTTCATTTTCAGGTTTTGCAAACTTATACTGCTACACAAGGAATCGACATCATTATTAGTGCTACTGTCCTTCTGTTCCCTATCATACAAAAGTCACTTGAGGTCTCCAGGGATTAGTACTCTGCTTGTTCCATATATTTATGCAGCAGCTGTTGGTTCAGGAGAGCTGCCCAGGAGCTTTGTCAGTCACTGTAACCCAAAGTTTGCTAGCAATGGAGAAAGGATAATGCAGATACCAGCCCGTGCATTTCAGCAGATGAAGATATTTAGCTGTGCCACAAAAAAGGCTGGACCAATTCTCATTCAAGAGCTCTCCCCAGTCAGGGACAGGAGGTGACAGCCTTCCACTGCAGCCACCCTACAAGAAGTTCCTTGCATGCTCACAGGATAGATCGTCTGCAGCTCCCTAATGTGGCAAAGATCTCACCAAGGCCCTGTTGTGCTTTCCCAAATGGGTGAGTTTCTCTACCACTCTCTGCTTAAGATGCTTTTTTTAGAGCTACAACTACTTTCCCTTACTTAAGCTGTAAGTACATCCTTACAGCTTCTAGGAGATGGCAGCAGCTAGAAAGCTTTCCTGATCCTTGCCCTATGGTTACTGTGCTAGAAAGAGAGAGAGAAAGCAAGAACAGAAACACACATGGGCCTCTTTAGGGAAAAAGGCCGATTTCATTGAACGGACAGCCTGTATTAAAGCATGTTACACGGAGCTGGGACAGGACAGCAGCTCATTGGACAATTGGGAAAAACATCCATGAGACAGCACCTCAGGATGTGTCCCACAAGAAAAACATCAGGTGTTAATCTTGATGATGAATTCCACTTTGTTTGTCACCATGTTCTCATCCTGGGAGACTCCCTCCCTAACTGAAGCCATAGTCAGCCTATCAGTCAGAGGCAGGAAAAGTTCAGGCCTGAGGAAAAGTCTCAAGCTGTAATTTCCTAGCTCTCTAAATGTGTGTGTCCACATTGCCCAAACTCCTATGGAACAGCTGCTTTATCCAGAAAGTCACTTGTACAAGCAGGGAAGGTAACAAGAAGAAAGCTTAAAGCCCAGTTTTCCATTATCTATCCTATTTCCCTTTCTTAAGGGAAGAGGCTGCCCAAGCATCCCTGTGGCTTAGGAGCCTTTGTATTGCAAGGATTTCAGTGGGAGCCAGGATGTTCTGAACTTGGTTCTGTGCTCTCCCTTGCCCTGCAGCAAGAACTGGAGCTCGATCCGAGTGGGACAACAGCAACTTTTTGAATAGCAATCAGACATCACTGGTGATCTAACGCTGATCCTCAATAAACCCAGTGACAGACGTGATCCTACAGCAGAGCTCAGAAGCCGGGGGAACCGCAAAGTTACCAACCCCAATCTCCCACATGTTTTTTAGGATACTGCATTTCCTCCCAGCTCCCTGAGCACATCATCTCCCCAAAATACAGCCAAGCCCTTGTCTGTCTGCTGACAGAAAGGGAATTTGTTAACATCCTAGGTGGAAGGTGCTCTGTGGGGACTCTTTTGGGGTGGAAGGGACCAGACCCAGAGATGCAGCCAGGACAGCTGACCTAGCTGAAGGAGCCAGAGGCACAGACCAGAGGTGATCAGACTTTCTGGAGCAGGGGTTGCCTCTCTCCAGGTACTGCACAGGGAGTGTTGGCCTCAGGTGGGACTCCCAGCCTGTTCCATGAACCATACAGCGTGTTGGCTTCCTCCCTGACCTCACCTGCAGCCTCTCCACCTGCAGCTGATGGGCTGATCCAGATAAAACAGCACTGATAGGAACTTGATTTGACATACTATAGGCTGAGCCAGATAAAACAGAAACGGTAGCAATTTTGACATACCACATGTTCAATGATCAGAATTGACTCAAATGCAACAGCCCCACGACAGCCACTTCCCTGTAAGCACTCCCCCCATTTCTACCTGTGCCCAACTGCAGATACTATGTTGAGGAAATAAATGCCAATTTGTAAAGCCACAAAGTGACAATCCCTGAGCCTGGCAGGCTCCCCTCCCTTCCGGCCACGAGCTGATCACGAAGGGAAACAGCAGCAGCGAGGGACTCGGAGCAGCGCTGCCATCAGCCTGCCTGGCTCTGCCACGTGGGACTCAGCAGGACAAAGACTGCTGGGCCACAAGCAGGTAGTGGAGATCCCTGCTGGTAAGCACCAACCACCCTGTTCTGCAAAACCAGGCTGAAGTGACATCACTGCCAAATGTTTCACAGCAGCATAGCAAGGATCCGGGGGAGACGTTATGTCACCAAAGGCTGAATGTTTCCTTTTGCTCTATAGCCCTGCAGAGCTCAGGAAATTGCACTCTCACGGTCTTTCTTCCTTCCTCACCCTCCAGGCAAAGCTCCCAAACTGGCTTGTGCTGTTTTACAGCAGGCAGTGGAATGTTTCTTTAGGGATCTCAGTCTTGAACAAGGATCCTGAATGCTGCAGCCATGGAACAGCTTTTCTCCACGGCTTGCCACGCCCTTGGGCAAAGCTCCTCACCTTGCCTTAGCAAAAGCAAACATATACGACAGTCCAAAGACA